CTTTGCATATTTTATTTCTTTTGCAACATCATTTTGTTGTATACACAACGCTGATTCGTCACACTTTGGTTCTATACATGGCGCTACATTGTCCAATACATCATCACTTTCATTTGACACCACTTCGTTTGGTACCAAACAAACATTCCTGCTCAACAATATGCGAATATAATATACGCATAAAAGCGACAAAACTAATGGAACAAATGGAAAAATAACAGCTGATAATGTACTCTGTTTGAACAAAAATATAATGAATGTAAGCTTAATAATCACGATAGAGGTCACATAAATATAACAATTACGTTTATCCTAACTCTGATGAAAGTCCAACATGGCATCTTTGTCGTCGTTTCCTAGAGTTTTATAACGAGGCACCTTGTCTTTATCAGCAAATGTTCTTCGGTCACTCTGTCCACATTTTCTGTTCCCTGATAACTCATTTGATTTCTGGTTTGATTCTGGTGAGACCTCATTGTCCTCATCGTATGACTGCAGCTGTTTGTTTTGTAAACAAATAGTCTAGTCACCGATATTCCCTTTTATTAAATTTTTGATTACTTTAATAGCAATTATTCATTCTAGATAATTAATTTTTATTTCTTACCTATTACTCATTACTTATACATGTAAATTATGTCAATTTTTATGGCACATTTGTATTTAAACGAGCTATTCATTCATATGCGGTATGTGGTTAAATAAAGTTACTTACTTACTTACTTATTACGTGTCTGCGGTATTCCCCGTTGCACGTGACTGAGCTTTGTGAAGAAACCCAAGGGTAAACCCATAGTCGGTCGCCCGACTAATTAATCTATTCCCCCAGGGGTCATTATTTTGCGAATATACCGCTGACAAAGAGCCAAAATGACCTTGGGCTCGAGATTGTCCCATAAGCGCAACCTAATCCTCATCGAACCATCAGCAAAGGTCTGATAAAATGATGTCTTTCGGTGATCATCAATTATACTTACTTTTTCTTCTGCTGGTAAAGTTTCATGAGTCAGGTAAGGGTGAAATTTATTTTCCCGTACAAAGAAATTTACAGTGTTTTTTACCATGTGTCATTTTAAGCTTAGAATCGAGCCGGAAACGCTGACTTTAATTTATGAACGTGATGTTTGTCAAAATGATTTCCTAACTCCAAGATGGCTTTCAGCAGTTTTTGTATCTCGAAATGATATGATTTTTGTATCTTGAAATGATTGCGATGTGATGTTGCGATTTCAATCACGTGATAAATGAAGTCTGAATAACTATGATGCGATAGAAATCAAGAGCAAAGGATTTTATGCTTCAAGTGTAACACTACTATATGGTCAGAATTCAACATCAAAATTGAAACTGAGAAGAGCGCTCTTCTTGATTAGTGTGAGTCGTCTTCTTAGCCATGAAAAAAAGTTAATCCTTTGTCAAGTGGCTTTCCATTACAAACAAGATGGTTATGCAAACCCTGAAAATATGCATAGGTTGGATCACGAAAGTAGAACGTCAGAATGTTGATGACACAAAGGTACAAAAAAAAGTCGAAGTTTCATCTTTCCCCTGTATAATACTTTACAATGCAGTGAAAACAATGAAAACAATGATAATTAAATATGCATAGGTTGGATCACGATAAGTAGAACGTCAGAATGTTGTAAGAACCAAAAATTGGCATATGAGATCAGCTTAGCTTGTTCCAGCTGTCAGTTATTAAGACAGAGCAAATGGCACAACAGCACTGTTTACTATTGTACTATTTTTTACTAACTAAATGCACAGAGCAAGCCGGGTGCAGTTAAGTGTATAACTGATGTTCTTGTTTTTTTGACATCCTCTGTAATTTATAATTGTACAGAGCCTCGGCAACATGGAATCCATTTGTTTTATTCAGTGAAGAAGCAAAAATTATTGTTGTTACTGCTTACAATTAAAGTGCCTTTATGGTGGACTCTATTTAAGGCCTTCTTCTTAAATATAATCCTTACATATGTAACTAAAGGGCTCAGAATATTGTTTATGTTTGTCTATTTTAGTGGGTGTGGATGTGATATTCACCCAGGAACCTTCTAATCCAAGCTACTTTAACAAAGGTAGTGATGCCAACCTGGTGTGGAACTATGCTGATCCACATAATAAAATTGCAGCAATTGCCTACAGTGTTCTGGTAAATGGTGAATTTAAAACAATGATTTTTAACAACAGTCATGGTGTGCAAGAACATTCTTCAATTCCTCCATCTTACAAAGGAAGAGTTAAAATTGAAGGAAGAGCTACTCTGGTTATCAAGAACATCAATACTGGAGACAATACCAAATTTAGATGTGAAATGTGGAAAAGCCCTTCAGGGCAGGTTGAAAGTACAGTTCAGCTTATTGTGGCAGGTATGTATTGCAGACATAACCATTCATAATCAAACACAAACCAAATGCATTCAACTCATGTCTCATATTTCTGAGATCTGGAGAAAGTAAACAATAGCATAAATTTGTGCAGACCTTTTTATGCAGGGCTGTAAGTGGCTAGCTAACCCAACTTTTGGGAACACTAGTGCTACTTTTACTTGGCATGTGACACCACACTCCTCAAAAAGAGACAAGAAATTCCACCATTTACTTTGCTGTTTCTCATTAGTAAGAATTCAAAGAGTTATGAAAGAGTTATTGCTTTATTCTTTTGGCACCAACTACTGGGTTGCTCTGTTATGCATACTTTAGATAACTATTATAAATATGAGTACTGAGATTTTCTCTCAGCAAAGTTTTCAACTAAAAACAGTCAGACAAAACTAGAAACAATGCAAGTGGCTGTACAATTTTGCTAGATCAATAAAGGAAATATTCCACAACCACTCACAGGCAGCTGGTGCAAAAAAAATTATGTGTCTTTTGTAGCCTTTTAGAGGGACCTGCCAAAGGGAATGAAAGTTGGCATTGCGTTGTTTGCTGCTTTCTGAGGATTATGATCTTCAAGGTTTACAGATGCAAATTTAGTCAACAGAGTGGTGACTTCCTCAAGTAATTTTCTGACACCAAGGTGCAAGGCAAGACTTGAAAGATTCGAGCAAAATTTCCTTAAAGTTATGAAAGCAATAAACCATCAGAGTCTATAATCCAAGCTCTTTATGCTGTTTAAAAGAAGCTGAGCTTGTAAACAGAAAATAATTTCAATGATGATCAATGTGGCCAGGTAGGAATGCTATTCTTAGCAGATGTTGTTACTTGATGCTTCCTCTTTACCCTCTTGATTGAGATACATACAGACCTAATGGAAACCTAAAATTGAAAGTACTGTAAATATACTTACAAATTTAAATTTATCCCCTCCATTGTTTTGGATATTGTGAGCAAAAACAAACAATTATCATAAACTACATGGTATACAATGGTTTGATTCACCGATGTGGCAAAGGTCTTTCACTATCTATCCATAATTTGTAAAATGTACGACATTCTAAATCTTGAGTGTATACTTATTCATCCATATCAAATTAAAGGTTACTTGAAATGAATGTCAAAGATTTATAAGATTTTCAGACCCCTGATAACAATTACTGATGTGCTAATTTGTTGTACTTAAAGGTTATGATTTTAGTGGAAATAGTGGAAGAAATTTCTGGATCTGGAATTTTGTCGAAAATATCTGTTTAAGTCAGTTTAAGTCAGTTAAAAACTCTCCTGTTTCAAGATTACATGATTGCCGCACCAGAACCTTTTGTATTCTATATTGTGCACCATGTTATGATTATGGTTTCAATTATAAAAGGTGCTGACTTGAGAACTTTGCAAAATATTTCTACATACAAAGAAATAGATTGTGGTTATGTACTCCAAATAGCAGGTCACATATGTCTTCTGTAAAGGAAGTAGCAGAAATCGCTATGGTGGTTTTGGTGGATGGAGAGAAACATCCACCAAAACCACTTTATTTTATGTGTTATGAGTTATGATAATCATTATGAACGTTTGGTCGGTCAGCAATTGTGCACCATAAAAAATAATTAGCCAGAGCACTAGCTGCTAATTAGTGGTATAAATCTTTTGTCTCCCTGAAGATCTAACAATGGCTATAGATAAAATAAAAAAAATATATTGTTGATGGTTTTGGTCAGCGTTTTGGTGGATGTTCCCTACTGACATCCACCAAAACTACGTAACACCTAGGCACCTTTTAAATACGTGAAATATCTGCATAACATTGCGTAAAATGTTTTATAATACTACAATCGAACAATAAATTAATACTTACCATTTCTTGAGTAAAAAGTTTTGATGCAATTTATCAAACAAATAATATACTTAGGTCATCGGGATAAGTCGGCATGTTGTCGTAGCTTCGTAATTTTCATTTAGTATAACAAGTCATGAGTTGTCCATCATTCCATCTCAGTCCCTCTCGACCGAGGTGGTTTTGGTGGATGGAATCTAATGCTGATCAGCACAAACTTCCTCATCGGATCGTCAGAAAAGGTCTGATAAGATGGTGTCTTTTCGCGATCATCAAGTATACCTACTTTGTCTTCTACTGGTAAAGTTTCACGGGTCAGGTAAGAGTGAAATTTATTCTCCCGTACAAAGGACTTTACAGCGGTTTTTACCATGAGCCATTTTAAGCATAGACACGAGCCGGAAACGCCGATCTTTACTCCTGAACTTGATGTTCGTCAAAATGATTTCCAAACTTTAAGGTGGCTTTCAACAGTTTTTGTATATCAAATTTAAGACATGATGTTGCGATTTCAACCACGCGATAAATGAAGTCTGAAAGCTACGATGTGATAGAAATCAAGAACAAAGGATTTTATGCTTCAAATGAAACACTACTATACTTTCAGAATTCAACATCAAAATTGAAACTGAGAAGAGCACTCTTTTCTTGAGTAGTGTGAGTCGTATTCTTAGCCATGAAAAAAGTTACTGCTTTGTTAGGTGGCTTTCCACTACAAACATGATGATCATGCAAACCCTGAAAAGATGCATAGGTTGGATCACGATAAGTAGAATACTCAGAATGCTCGATGACACAAAGGTACAAAAAAGTTGAATTTTTATCTTCACTTCTTTAATGCTTTACAATGCAGTGAAAGAAAAATCTGATTTTTCCTGTAAGAAATTAAGGTTTGAAAGGTTATTTAATTTATCATTCAATGGCATCTAAGCACACTTGGTTGCTGTGTTTGTATTTTTTGTGACAGCTGCTTCGTTTATTGAAATTATTTTCTCCTAGCTTAACACAGCAAAGCGGGAAGCCATTTTCTTGTTACATGATGCCAGAACAAGCATCCTGATCAGTTATAGAACAAGCTAGGTGCAGTGGAGTGTGTCACTGATGTGCTTAGGACATTTTGACATCCCCTGTGATTTATAACAGTACAGAGCAAGGGTACCATGGAATCTACTTGTTTTATTCAATGAAGAAGCAAAAATTATTGTTGTTACTGCTTACACTTGCCTTTGTGGTGAAGTCTATTTAAACCCTTCATAAATATCATCCTTACACATGTAACTAAAGGGCTGGGAATATTATGTTTATGGTTATCTATTTTAGGGGGTGCGGATGTGCGTTTCACGCTGGAACCTTCTAATCCAAGCTATTTTAAAAATGGTAGTGATGCCAAGCTAGTATGGGACTACACTGATCCACTTAATGCGACTCGAGGCATCATCTTTAGTGTTCTGGTAAAGGATACATATAAAAAAATGATTTTCAGGGGCAGTCGTGGTGTCCAAGAACATCGTGATATTCCTCCATCTTATCAAGGAAGAGTTAAAATTGAAGGAAGAGCTACCCTGTTTATCAAGAACATCAACCCTGGAGACAATACCAAATTTAAATGTGAAATGTGGGGAAAGAAAGTTGAAAGTATAGTTGAGCTTACTGTGGCAGGTACGTCTTGTAGACATAACCATTAATAATGTAACACAAATCAAATTCATTCAACTCATGTCTCATATTTCTGAGATCTGGAAAAAGTAAACATTAACATAAATTTGTGCAAACCTTTATATACAGGGCTGAAAGTGGCTAGCTTACCCAACTTTTGGGAACACACTCATGTCCTAACAACATTAAATAGTTGAAAACGCGTGTGTTATAAGTATGGAACTTCTTGGTCATTTGACTGTGATTCAAGTCAAAAACATTATGTGATATCTCAATACTCATGTACAATTTACCTCATTGTTTGCTTGAATGATTTTTTTCACTTGTTGTGAAGAATCCAAACTCACTGTTTACTACACTCATTTGCTTGTTTTTGATTTTATACAACTCCCAAATGAAGATTGTTTGCGCTCACCAGCCATGACATAATCTTCAACCTTTCCTTGTCATCGTACTCCATCAGAACCATGTAACTTTCAATAACACAATATTTTAATTAATGTACATTTTCTGAGTTCTGTTGGCTTATTTTAACTGTAATGCAATACCTTTCACACTTATTCTATTTCTGACATGTATTTGACAGAAAGATACCAGGTTAATATGGCTTAAAAGGGGTAAAATGAATCATCATTCACATTTGGTCTACGTGGCTCAAAGCCAATCCATGTATTTCGCTTATAGAAAAAATTGTTTTGTTTTGTTTTTACCATAAGAAGGCAATTATTATTCATGCATCACTGCCATCTTTGTAACAGATTTGCCAATTTTTTTTAGATGCTTCCTCTTTACCCTCCTGATTGAGACACATACAGACTAAGTGGAACCCTAAAATTGAAAGTACTGTAAATATCCTTAAGAATACTTGAATCTCAATGGATTGGTTATTTAAGTCATAAATGTGACTTCTTGTTCCTTAAAAGCTATGAGAATTACAGCTGTGAAATGGAAAACAAACTTTCTGAATGAAGTGAAGCTTTGTGGCATGTGATCAAATCCACCCCCTGTTGTAAGTCATTTGCAAGGTTTGATATATCTGCAAAGTATTGTTTAACTTTTTATTTCAAAAATTAAAAACATATGGAAAAAGGAAAATTTGCCAATATTGGATTTGTGATTGTGGAAAGCCATTTGCAAATCAAAGAGAACCCAAAGGCCTCTAGAAGATGTGATGGGCAGTCTCTCTCCTTTCATCTCTACCAAAATGCTGGTTGTCTGTTTACATGTAGATTACCCTTGGACAAAAGGTGTGACGTAAAGAATGCAGTCTATTATGAAACAAGGTATTGTTGAGGAGAAGTGCCTGCTCCTGTCTGCTAACCCAATATCCAAGATGTCCCATGCACTATCAATAGTTTTGCAGGGTTTGACTTTAAGTGTGTTCATCATGATCCTTTTGGCATTGGGTTTCAAAAGAATTTCATTTTTATCCTGACTACATTTCATCATTAAGTGATTAAATGCCTCTTCCAGATGACATGGGATCTTCCATGTTTATTTATTTATTTATTTAATCATTATTTATACACAGTTAAAAAAAAGGAATTCATCAGGTACAAAAATTCCAATACAATGACTAATATCCTAAGAACTAAAGATCATAATCCTAGCATTACATGAACTAATTAACACCATTAATATGCCACTTAAAAACCTGATTTCCATGAATGCTGTGTCTAAAAATTATGATAGGGAAGGTGTTTAAATTGGTTTAATGAACCAGACTCTCTAATGTTACAGGGTAAGCTATTCCAATGGGTTGAGCCGCTATAACTAAAACTATTTTTCATGTAGTTAGTTCTTGGAAATTGGATGACAAGTTTGTTTATTGAGCCCCACATAGAATAGTTTGATTCGTTTCACTTTATAAATTTAGACGTGAGATATTTGGGAACCAGATGGTAGAAAGACTTGCAAACCATTAAGGTGTTCTGAATTTGACATGGAGATTTCAAGTCTTTTCAGCTGAGTTTGTGAGACAAGGAATCAACATCTACATCATAGTTTGATGAAGTTATTATATGTGCAGCACGGTTTTGTAGTTTTTGTAGCTTGTTAGATAATGTTTTGCTACAATTACCCTAGACTAGGCTACAGTAATCAAAGTGAGATTGAAGGAGTGAGTTCTAGATATTGAGTAGGGTGGATTGGGGCACAAATGGCTATAACTCACTCTATGGCTCCAATAGCAGTAGCCATCCTTTTTACACTGTTTATCAATGTGGGAATGCCACATTAAATTTTCATCTTTTTATATTCCAAGGGATTTCACAGAGGAAACTTGTTCAATGGGAACATTATCTATGGAAAGTTTGAGTGTATCAGATAGAGTACTTGATCTATGCTTAGCGCAGATCAACATAAATTCAGTTTTTGTAGCATTCAAGGTAAGTCTGTTAGACACAAGCCATTTGCTTAGCTTTTCAAGGTTGTGAGATAGACTAGACTGGATCAAATGTAAATCAGAGCCAGCATAAGTGATGTGGGTGTCATCAGCATACATTCTAAGTACACTGAACGATGGCAAATGATTAATATAAATTAGAAGTAAAAGAGGGCCAAGCATCATTCCCTGTGGCACACCACATTTAAGATTGGTGAAGTCAGAGAGACAATCGTTAACTGAGCACTGTTGTGAGTGATGCATCAAATATGATTTAAACCAATCAAGAGTTTTTCTTGAATACCACATCGATTCATTTTAGTGAGTAATATCTCATGATCAACAGTGTTGAATCCCTCTTTTAAGTCGAGAAACACCACAGCATTGATGTAGCCATAATTGATATTAAATGCCCAACTGTCAGTGGCTTCAATTAAGAAGAGCAGTAATGGTTGGGTGTAAAGACCTGAAACCAAATTGATGTTTAGAGATGATTTCTTCACTATTTATGAGGTTCATATAACTGATCATACACAATCCTTTCAAACACTTTGGTGACTACAGAAATGACTGAGATAGGTCAGTAGTTGTTTTTATGTTGGTATCATTTAGCTCAGTAGAGTGCTTAAATTTGGCATACATCATAAGGTTTCTACTATATTACTGCTGATGTCATTGAAGACATTAGGAGGAGGGAGGTTTTTTTTTTTCAGCTTTTTGCTTCTTCAGTAGGTTTCTTTAGTTCCTCATCCTATAGCCATTTCCTGTCACAGATTCCAAGTTCAAGTGACTCTAAATATAGAAAAAAAATTTGTATTTCTGGTCAACTTAAATGTTAATTGAAATATTTTAGGTGTTAAACAACTGCCCAGTTTCACTTACTTTTGGGACATGATGCATTCTCGAAGCCTTGTAGTGCTTAACACTTTGAATATTTCAGCCCATAGAGATGACCCCCAGCTTGATGTTGTCACAGTTAACTCTGAAAGATTCTAGTCAGTTAAGATGTCTATTATGGACTCAGGAAAAAACCGATAGCTCTATTCAATTTTAAAAATCTTAGAGGAGGCAGCTGTTTGCAAACATTTATAAGGCCTAACACATGATAATGGTCTTCCAACTTAATGTAGCCTGTGATATCTAGCACTGAGGGTGTTTAGCTATCATTATATCTGATTGAAAGGCTGGTGTATCCTTCAATTATAATTTCATGTAGGATCAGCTCATTTTGCTTGAGAACTGCATGTTTGTATGCAAGCTATATGTTTTGGATTGTGGGTGGATCAAGTTAGCATACACTAACACAATGAAATAACTGGTTCTGCTATGTAACTCTCTTGAGGCTCCTGAACCCTACATATTTTTGGGGATGTTTCAGAGCTAGCACCTCTAAGTCTCGAGTATAGACCATTATAAATCTAAACAAAAGTACATCGAATTCTGTAATAGTTTCTGGTTTCTTTTATAATAACTCCTTGCAAGATTTTGTAATATTGTTACCTAGATGACAAGCTACATCTGGGCCCACTAAAATTTTTGTATTGTTAAGTAACCATTGATCAATTCACATACACTTACTAAGGATATCTTTGTTACAACTTCAGTTGGAAGCTCTTCAAATTGGAACCTCCTAAAAACTATACAAAGTTAAATAGGGCCTAAAATCATCAAGTGGGAACATGGAAATATTTTAAGATGAACAAGTAGTATTATCCACCTTTAGATGTTGGAACTTTTACAGACAAGCCACTCCATTCTTAAGGAAAATCAAATTTTTTCTTCTGTCTTTAAATTAGATTTTCCTCCTTTCACCAATTCTCTCTCAGGTACTCTGGCTAGTGAGCTATTTTTTGCATTTCTTACTCAAATCTCTAGTCTGCAACAAGAATATTACTTCCCGTACAAAGATGAATCATGTAGTATTTTTGGTGTTGCCTCTCCACTTTCTACCTCCACAATTCCTTTCCCACCTTCTACTGTAGTTTCTTAATAAACATCAGCATCTCTTGATGGTCTGGAAGATAGTTTCTTTGGTAATGTCAAACAAGCTCAAATCTTGTGCTAATTATTACTAGGAACTACTTAGTGTGAATTTAAGCCACCTTCTTGCTCTCAAGTATTTCTCACCCAATGTTCTGGGTACTGCCTGTTTTGCATTTTCACCAAAACTAAGACTGGACCATGTTGTATAAACATTTCATCTGCCTGTTAGCCTCATATCAGCTATGGCTGATTTCACTTTAGTTTTAAGGACCAACTTAAATTATCTTGCCATAAGTTTTGGGAACACTTATTCACAATTGTATTGAAGTATAACTCTCCTCTTTAGGGGGGTAAAGTGTGTTTGTAGAGCTCTGATGAAATGACTCTGCCTCATTGTAAATGTAATGCCTGCGACAGGTTGAGGATATTTTTAATTTGCTGAGTGATAACCTCTCTGTTGGGAAGCAGTAAAACATTTCAGCACAAGTTTTTAACAGTGGTCTCTGTACAGTCTATTCTTAATGCAGGAAATAAGTTAATTTCTTTTCATTTGACTTGGGCTTAAGAACGGTTTATTTTTGGGTATGATTCTTCAAAATGCAGAGGAAAAGTCAGAAACTCTCCATTCTGCAAACTCCCTTTGCAAAACAATCATGATGAGCAATCAAGTTATGTAATGTTTGATAAAAGAACAATCAATACATTCCAAGTGAGGTGTGGCTTGATTGGCTCTGTTCCTATTTGTTTGTGCAGCAGCAAAAGTTTTATCACGAAAATTGGGAGTAGCTTTAAAGCTGGGGTCCTCAGTTTAATGAGTGACTTCCTGAATTATCCCTCAATTCCCTAGGTTGGTTGTTGGAGACCAATTGCTGGATACTTCTGATTATTTTATTGTAACTGGGTAAATTTTAAGACTCAGTCCACTACGCAATATGAGGAATGATATAATTGCTTTTACCTTTCAGAGGCATTACTTATGAACCTCTCTTTAGGAGGAAAATATTTCACTGAAGGATCCAATGCCACCCTAAGCTGTAAAGCTTCTGGGAAACCACCACCATATGTATCGTGGATTAGAAATGGAGTACTGGAAAGTTCAGGGAAGGAAGCTGCATCTTTGGAGTTCAATAACATAAATAGAACAGATGCTGGACAATATACATGTCAAGCCAATAACTCAATGGAAGTCACTTCCATTAACACAACAATTGTAGTTCACTGTAAGTATTATTTTAATTTTCTACATCTGAATTTAATTTATTTACAGTGCGACTCCTGTTATTAGGGTCAGTTACACAAAACTGACAAATATGTCTAAAAGTGTAAGAAAAATGAATTCCACGTCAAATCCTTTTCAGCTTTGTATGCATTGGTCCTAAGTATTGGTTGGGACACTTGAATTTCAGTGGAATTCTTACTCACATTATTTTGCTCAGGAGGACATGAAAATGTTTACCAAGTTGTTGCTTCAGTTGGATTGTGTTAAACTCAGAAAATGGCTTAAGGCCATTTCTGAGTCATTGTGACAACCCAAAATTCACTCCATTTGACTAGTGCACAAGGCTAGCGTGAAGGGCCCTGGTTGAAGCCTGATGGAAATCTGAGAACTGGCCAAAATTCCAAGTGTCAGCTGAGAAATTGCACATTTCAGTGTTTTACTGATGTAGCTGAGATAAGATAAAAGCAAAAATGGGCTCAAACTAAAACCACATGCTTAAGATTTGTGCACATATTTGCATGTGTGGCATTCAAAGAGATATACTATTTAGGGGCAAGAATCCATTTTATAATTCATAATTTGAAGGCCTTGCCACCTTATACTGAATAATTGAAGTACAAAAAGTGTATGAATGCAAAAGTGATGGACTCTACTACTGAGTGATTACAACCTTTACTTTTTTTCCATTTAAAGACTGGGAAAGGAAAGACAAAATTTTTATCCCAATCATACTCAGGATGTGCAAATTGAGGTCATGTGACCTACCATATGACCCTTGAGGAGTCAAAATGGCCTTCTAAAACTGTTATAAAAATATCTATACATCTTCTATGGCATAAATTTATGAAATATCCCTTTGTATTCTGCTAATATCTATGAAAGGGTTGCGCAGTCCACAGTTTTAGCCAAACGTTTGCTTATTAAGCTTAAAGCAATGAGATAAATATCATTTTTGCCCAATTTACAATTTGACATGAAAAAGAGGGGCAGTCAGGTTACCTCTGTTTGTGGCCATTTTTTATGTTTTGTGAAAAAAACTTCTGACTATAACATTAGCTCTTAATGGCAGGAAGCCAGGTGTGCTCAACTTCTACAAATTATGTCACATTACTAAGCATGTGTCCTCTAAGGGGCCTAAATCTGCCCTCTTGCTTTAAAGTGAAATCATACTTATGTCATCCTTCCAAATCTTGTATTTACACTACCTCTTACCTCAGAGCGATACATACTGCAACTAAAAAACACAATATCATAACTTATTTTGGTCTGTTGAGCTTTAAAGTAACTTATCTCCATTGTTAATCGACTGAAAGCTATCCTCTTAAGTATGGATGCCTCATATGTCAACTATTTAAAAGTTCCTCTTCAAAGGTACTCTTTTCACAGCTTTCTTCTGAGTCACTGAGAAGGTTTACTTGTGCTAGTGCTTTTGTGATTGGCTGTGGTACAAGAAGCTCCCTGTTCTTCATCCATCCATGACCCTCCATTGATTTAAGATCCTGCATAGCTTCAAGGGCATGACTCCACATGAATGCTTTGTAGTTTGCTTCAGATGTTGACGTAGACAATCAGTTGTTGGTGGAAGCATTTCGTTTTTTGCTTATTCTGGCAGAACATGTGATAACATAATTCATCTGCAATGCTTGTCTTTTTGCAGTCATGTAAAAGCTGCAAACAAAGGTTTTGCTTTTACCAAAGCTGCAGAAAGCAACCAACAGGAAATTGAATAGGTTTACACAGTGTCAAAAACATAGCATTCATGTTTAAGAATAAACATACATCAAATGCAACAAATGTTGATTGCTACAGCTCTAAATTGCTGGTAATGAACTAGAAACCAATGGAGGAAATAAAACATGCTGAACTAAATAATTAAAGCCATACCTTTTTTTTTTTGATTTACAAGATACTTTCCCCATTGTCTTGGTACTGGAGTGGCAAGACCTCTGATTTGCATTTTAAGGCCAATGAATGTTCCCCTTTGCTGACGCCCTCCTTTTGTGAAGTTGCTCAGTATTGGTAGAAGACCATGAGGACTTGCAGACAGTTGCTAGAAAAAAGGGGGGAACTGAAGATTTTGAAATATTTTTGTAAGAATTCACCAAAGGTATCTGCTCCAGAAGATTTTGTCGACTGTAGAACTGCCATGCCATTGATAACAACAACCTGTGGATTTGTCAATGCTGTAAGTTGCTGAACTACATGAATGTCTTTCTAGAGAAGAGAGCATAGTGTGCTCTTAACACCTTTTCTAAGACTTCCATTAGTGAGTGAATATGGGATTGAAGACAGGTCAAAGCTCAGCACATCTTTCAGGTAGATTGGATGAGATGAGGAGCTTGACAAACAAGTCCTTGTCGGCATTAACAGTAATTAGCTTATTGCTGGATTTGACTCCAACCTTTTGCACTGCTGAACCTAGGATCTTGATGTTTGGAATTGGCTCCCCAGAAACCCTAGCAGGGAAAGAAAATATAAAGCCGTGTGGTATATGAAGCTTAAATCACTAAGTGGAAAACTGTAGGTTTGAGTCAATGAATTTATATCACCAGATGTAAATTGACAACTTCTGCTTAAATAAATTCTTCATTTCTTCAGTTTGTAAGCCATATGATAAAGCTAATGGGATCATTCAACTTTCTTCACTGAGCCTTTGGAAAATAGTTGCTTTAGTATTATTGCTAGAGTGCTTTCAAATTATGTTGTAAATTTGTTTTGTAAATTAAAAATTGTACATTCTGCTACAATAGTTTGGATTACTTGTATTCTGATAAGCAGCCATTTTTTATTTATATATTTATATTTGAAATATTGTGTAGGAGAAACATTGCCTCTGTTTAAAATTTACTCTCTGAGAGTTTCGTAATTTTTCTCTTGATGATCGTTTGTTAACATCTTGCTGCAACTCACACGGCTGGAACTTGATACTCACCATTTGCGGAGGTCATCTTGGTGGCTGGAATTACAAATGAGGGAGGTCAGCTCTGTTTCGATCTAATGGCGTACTATTAATTGAGTGGTAAGTTCTGATAATTGATTGTAACCCTAATGTTTTGAATTAAAGACTGTAGCTGTTGATTGGCTGCTAACAAAATTGACTGTAGTTTCAATCTTTGTGTTTACATCTTTCATTCTGGGATGACTGATTCATCCACTGCGATAGGAAAAATGTACACGTGGTCAGCCAACTTTGGTTTATGAATCCATCTCATTGCTCTGAACTTCTCCATCAAGGGATTTTATTGGGAACTTGTAGAAATTTTGAAATTGTAACCTTGAGCTTCCAAATAGATACGTTGTATAAGATCATTTTGACCAAATTTAATTTTGCACCCAAAAGGAAATTGCACCAAAAAGTCTAACTGCTTAAGCAAGTTACAGCTAAGTTTGTTTTACAGTGCAAGCACTTGAGGGACTTTAACGCAAAACCTAACGGTAATGACAACATGGACATCGCAAAACAAAAGCTGTAATGGGCAGAATAACAGTTCAGCACATGCCTTTTAAAACTTTGTACATTTCTTATCTGTCTTCTGACAAACAACAGTGTGAAATCAGCAAAATTTGTGTTGTCTGTGAATGAAAAGCCCAACGGCAAATAATCTGCTTCCATCTGGAACCCAATGTGACTCACATATGTTATGCTGAATTTAAAGTGAGACATCATTAGAAACTGAACACATTCAGCCATTCATGTGTGAAATTCCAACTAAAAATCTAAATTCCTTTTTTAATTGACATCTACCTCAGCATTGCCAACTGCCAAAGGTCCATAGTACTGATTAACTTTCTGCAAACTTCTGAAATAGAAAGTCAGACTGCGTTGGTACATTTCAAATTCATGAAGTTAACCTGTGGGTAATTGGGAAGAACAGCTCCCCTCCACCGACAGTCGGCCAACTGTAGGCTGACACTAAACCGACAGACCCCCAACAGGTTAGCGACAGGCGGTGAAATAACTTTACTAGTGTATTTTTGCACTTACAAAATCGATGTAAAACTTACTATAAATGCTTAAAATTTTTCAAAATGCCACTAAAACTTAAATGTACACGAACATTCCCTGTGCATTAAACGAAAGTGTGTTAATATTCTCCATCAAAAAGTGCAGTTAAGAATCACCCTATAATGCAATGCGATCGTTACCGACAGATCACCAACAATAAGTCTTTTTTTCAATAATTATGTCATAAAAAGCAGTCACAGCTGTTGAATAAATGATACAGTCAGACTTATATTAAGCAGCACCGTATTAAGCGGTCACCCTGTATTTAGTGGTCAGTCGTCAGAGTCCCAAATTTTTTTCTCCTTAATTGTTGTAATTTTCACCTCTTTATAGTGGTCACCTCTATAATAAGTGGTTGTGGTCACTGAGTGAGTGACAACAGCCTGTTTGTGTTGTCTTCCACCTGTAATGAATGGTCACATAAAGTGGAACAACTCGATTAAAACTAAGGATGATTTTTTTGTGTAAATTCAATCCATGTTTAAAACAGGTATCATTATTGTACAAAATAACCAACTGTCCAACTATGGCAAGATTTTTTAACTTGATTTGTGCATTATTTGTACTCTCTTAGGTGCAGTTGGATAATAAATATATGTTAATCATTGGCCGGGAGGTCAGTATTGGGGAAAACTGTTCCCAAAGTCTTTAGTACTGCCAAAGGCAGTACACAAGACAGACACAAGACACACAATTCAGACCAACCTAGACTGGTTAAGAACATTTTTAATTTTTTCCTTGAAGTTAGCGAAACACTTCCCAAAAGAACATGAATTTATTTAGGGCTGTAATTATGGCAAGATCCTCCATAAACTGAACAAACCTTGAGCGAGTAAATTGTAGTTAAAATGGAGGTAATGCAAATTAAAAGAGACGTAAAACATTGTTATTTGCATTATGATGTAGATGATTTATAAGGCTTCCAAACAAACTTTGAAACATTATTTTTACAAGTATCTGTCACTATCTGACACCTGTAAATTAGAGAACACTTGGAAAAAAAGTGCATGTACACTTTCGAAAAAAAGTGCGTGTACACTTTCGAAAAAAAGCTCATTAACTCTCACAACAATTTTTTCTTCAAAAACAGTCAATGTTCTTAGGTAAAGTATTATTCACCTCCATTAACAACTAATGTACAAAGATTTACCTCTGTTCAGTCAGTAAATTACAACAAAAGTCAGTGCAAGTAAATTCAAGTGTAAGTTTTGAAGTTGTGAGAGTTTGCTCGTTTGTTTGCTGCAATGGGCGTGTGTAAATCTGGTCTTTCTTCCACCCAGAAACTAAATTCAACTGAGACACTTTTACTAGACACAACAAGAGTCATTACGACCTTTTCTCAGAGAGTTTCTTTCAATTTGGTTTCTGCTCTGCAATTTACAGTACAAATGTCCAAATTGTAAACGGACTTGGAAAGAGTTATTGAAAGCGTATTTGTAGCAGAGCTGAAAACTTTACTCACCCATTCACAACGAACAAGAGAGAATTCACATAATACATAGATTTAGCCAAGCCTAAAAGCAGAGCGTCAGTAAGTTTATTTTCTAGCCCTTCACTTTATTAAAGTCCTCTGCAGTCGTTGTCAAAGAGATTATTGAAGGGGACCAGCTGGGGTGGGGTATGGGGGAAAATTGGGGTCTGTTCTAGTGAAAATAGCCGATTTCGTGGAGCCGTTCGAACATTCTGTTGTTTGTAGCAGTCATTTTTCTTCCTGGTGCTGTACCGACGATTCAGACCCTACCAGAAGCAAATTATTTGGAAGTATGAAAACGACCCATACAGTCCGTACAGTTGAGCTCTTCAAAAGTTAGAGGTCAACAGAGAAAGTACAAAATCGATTTACATGAAAACGTTTCGTTAATTAAACAACAATAGCTTTATTGGTTCTCTAAAAACATCTTTTTTCTCATCTAATGAATGATTATGGGGAAGCCAGTTGTTCGGGAGTCAGCGCTGAGCCCATAAAAGACAATGACCTGTCTGAACATTTGCATGAATTCGAAACACGTGTCAAAGAAAGAGAATTCCTTGATGTCGGTGTGTAATAACGTGATCTGGAATTTTGTTGGTTCGATATAAAGAATTCTATACAGGATCCCATAATCAACCCTCATGTTCTATAAGGGAATCCATGCCAGCCCCACTTGTTGCTTCCTTTGAGAAACCCTGCAGAGAAACAGTAGAAGAATTTGTGTCACGGTTTCCACAGCAGTGAAATTACATTCAGAGGTCAGTAGGACAATATTTATCATTTTGAGTACAACTTAAAAGATCCTAATTTCAGCTTGCAAAACTATCTTTTCAGTATTTCAAATCGAATCAAACACAAACAGGGTTGGATAATTATGAAGGCCACACCAGGAAATGTACATGGTACAACTTGTTTATCGATGGAAATGCTTCGGAGATGAAGGAAAGCAACACATAAGTATCTCATAAAGAACGGGCACAACCGCCAGTGCAGTAAGACACAAATAACTAAGATCTGCATTAACATGTACCTTTGTTTCTCTCAAAGGTTTTGCGGTTTTAATCCAATGTAAGACGATCCAAAATCCGCTGGAAAAATGTTTCGGATTTTGTTTACCGCACAAGATGGCACAGCTATCCTGAAGTGTTTGCCGAGATAACCCCAACACTGACGAACAAGCTATCTGTAGGCAATTTAGCGAAATTTCCTGCCGGGAAAGAAGTGAAAAACAACTAGCTGTAGTATTGTATTATTAAATCAATGGCAGAAACAACTCAAGCAAATCGATCTCGAAATGTAACAAAACAGATGAAACAGAAAACATTTAGCTTACTCGTTTCCGGTGTGATTATCTGTGCCTTACTGCTGCCTGTACGCGTAATAGGCCGTCTCCAGCACCCAGAAATCGACTGAAAACCTGGATGCTCAGTGATACAACTTATCTGGATTTCAGGCCCTTGCTCATCTACTTTTTGCCACAATTGCCCGATTTCCTTACAACAAACACTTTCATGAGTTGTCGGAGTTGGTTGACAAGTTCCACACTCACGCCTTCGATAATTTTATACAAAACACTCTCAGAAGCTCAGGTTTTAAAAATTTCTGTTGTATTCTTTTAGATTGTACCCTTGCTTTATTGGATTTTCATGTCAAATAAATTTCACAGTAAATTAAACACCAGTTTGATTCTCCGAGGAGGTCGCATCGCTGTCAACATAATAACTTTTCCAAGCCCTGAATAGGCGAGGAAAAAATACAAGCAACTAGCAAGATTTCCGCTCGTGTTATGTGTTAAACCATCGAATGAGAGATTTATTATTCCACTATTATTTTCAGTTTTTAGTATTTTAACTTTTAGTGTGCGAATTACATCCTACGGCTTTATCTGTGCATCGTATCCATTGCATAAGATATGCGCGAAAGATGGAAACAACCAGAACTAAAGCATTCAAATGTCCTTTGTGTTCTTTTGTGCTTAAAAGTTCGCTTCTTTAAAAGTCAAATGTAAAAAACGAAAAAAAAACAATGTTTGGATCGTTCAGTGCTGCCAATATGCTGCGACGTATTTTTGCCTTGTTTTAAAATGTAATATTGTGGCATATTTTGCCTTCCTCATTACTTTATTTGTTAAAATGACACAGTAATGGAATGATAAAGCTCATTAATGTTCTGATTCATATGAAGTATCACCAATTAGTTATTCAATTGCTTATTGCATTTGTATTCATTCTTAGACCCGTCCACAATTCAAAATGTCACCACGTCATCTAAGAAGTCTTGGATTGGCCAGACAGTGACTTTGAAGTGTCTTTCTGATGGTGTTCCTACACCAACACTCTCATGGTACAAACCTGAAGGAAGTGAAATAAACAGAGTCAGAGCTAGAGAAAACAAAGTACAAGTGCCACTCAGGGGTGATCAAGATTTTGGTCATTACAAGTGCATTGCTGCCAATGGACTTCCTCCATCTGATGAGAAATTAATAAAGATAAATCAGATAAGTAAGTAAAAAAGATCAGTGTATTGTGATAAGAAGAAAACTATATATAAGGTCAGCATTTTCTTTTGCCTTTGCTCATTATCACAGTTTCAGTTGCAGTAGAAGTAAAACCCAAATTTTCTTACAAAGTATTGGACAGAGTAACTTATTCACTTCGTACATCTCATTCGATGATTTAACATATAATACGTGCGGATATTTTGCAAGGCCCATGAGCGTGTGGAAAAAACATATGCTTATGTTAAACCATTGAGTGAGGGATTTATCATTCTACTATTCTTTCATTTACTAACAATTTGGCCGCCTAGATTTCGACAGACATCCTGCGGCCTTATCTGAGCGCCCCGTTCGCATTTTTCTCCTCTTTCGCTGCGTTTGACCTACTCATATTTTTCGCGTTTGTTTCCCAATGAGGTATAACGGCGTAATAGTGGAATTATGCTAGATATTGTTAGCCTGATCTTTTAGTAGGAAATACACCCAAATTTATATAAAAAAAAAAGGTTTAAAGTAAACTGTCGACACCTTGCCCTTTGGTAGCATTAAACACGTCACAAAGAGCATTGAACTTCAGGCAGATTGATGACATCTTCCCATGCGGGTATCTATAGGAAACTTCCTCAACCATGGACTTAAATTTTTTCACTTTTTATGAGTCTCTTGGCTGAATGTATCCGGTAGCTACATTTATATTCATTAATTACATGTTAACGCACTCAGCGAATGAACTATGGGGATTTACCTGCACGAGTTCACGGACTATTACACCACGATAATGACGTCAAGGAGGTTGTTTCGTCACAACACAGTATCACGTGGTAAAATCATCTAATCAGAAAATCGGAATTCGAACAGTGTATGAAATTTGAATAATAAACTGTTAGAAGTCGTGGACTTCCATTCATCCTTAGTGTTGTGACAAAACTCAAAATAACCTCTTTTCTTATGGCACTATGTAGAGAAACCAGGGAAAGCATCCATCAAATCAGAATCAGTCATTCAAGCAACTTCTATAACAATACGATGGACTGCACCAGCTGATGATGGAGGAAGTCAGATTACAGGATTCCAAATGATCTTACAAAAGGATGAAACTGAGATAAAAAAGGTTAATATCACCGATCCTGGGACGACAAGTTATTCGTTTCATGGTTTGGAGAAAAATACCAACTACACAGTGAAACTGTTTTCCAGAAATTTTGTATTCGAGGGAGATCCTACTGTATGGAACATTAAGACCAAGTTTGAAGGTGAGGAATCAAAAGTGATATCGTGACTGAGCACTTTGCACCAATCATTTTTTCGCCAACTTAGATTTGTTGTGAGTAACCCAGTTTTAACAACGTTATCTGCTCGCTGCATTATAAGGTTTTGGATTTTCAGCGTTTGTCCCCTCCTTAGTGGCCAGTTTCCTTTCCCTTTGTGATAATTGTTTTAGAGATACCTACGTTTGAAGAAGCGTAATAATAAACAATGAAAAACCAATGATCGTAGGTGAGAACAATAGACAACCTACGCGGTTACGTTCCGTAAATGTTACCTGATTTATCAAGTATTGTTTGCCTTGTCGTTTTTTTTTTATTTTCTGATGTTCACGTTTCAAAATCCGCTATATGAATCAGCCACAACAACAGCCGCTACATAGGGACCTTTAGGTTAGTTGGATACATTTTTCCTAAACTCTTACTGGCCATATTCAGAACGCCCAATAACCAACTATCCCTTTAGACAGTGAGACGATTTCCACACATCGTTTGACCAAAGAATTGAAGTTTGAAGAAATGGGCCTTTCATGAATGTCGCTTCTAATATGCAAATATTATGGGGAAATCTCGTCAAACAGTGTGTGGACGGCCTTGAAGAATCCTTCGTATATTTTCTTTAAGATGAGAAATAGCTTATTTTCATTTTGCAGGGATAAGCCCAAACCAAAACGATTGAGGTTATCGTTTTCAAGAAAGTTTCTTTCGAATCTCATCCGGCACATATCTCTCTCAACAAAAAAACTATTGTGGTAACAGGTGTGAACTTAGTAACTGAATTTGAGCAGCCGTAATATGGCAATGAAGTTCGTCGCACCTGTTATCGCTTAAGCGCTTCTTGTCATTGCCTCCTCGGTTGGCAAACCCCCTGAAGAAAAAAACTTGTTGTCTCGGTGGAAAAACCCGCGCCAGCTTATATTTGCAGAAGAAGAATCGTAGGCCTGTAGTTAATCATGCGTGATGTCAAACTTTTCAAAAGCGGAAAGTAGTTGCACACGAACTAAGATCCTTTCTGTAACTACGGGACACAAACGATCGGTGAATTGTGACGTCATCTATGCATCGGTCCTTCATTTGATCACGTGTAAATAGCAATTACAATGCCAGTAGAAGTCAGTGTATCGTTCAAATTCACCTTATAAATGCATTATTTGTTTTAGGCAATAACGGACCATCATTTTAGGCTTCTCATTATCACTTTTTGTCCTTTCAAATTATTTTGAATTCATCTCAATACTTAACTTAATTTGGTTGCCATACACTTTCGTCTCAGAAATATCCCAAACAAATCCTCGACCAGTTTACAGATTAGTTAATCACTGATAATGGTTCTGACCAGGTTTGTAACAAGAAATTATATAATTATTAGAAATTTCACGCTGTTCGTGTCGTTGACATCAATCTAGGAGCCCCAGATGTGGTCGAAATAGACGAACTGCCAAGTGAAACAGCAGACGCTACAATTACCCTAAAGTGGAAGGAGCCAGAAAGTAATGGAAAAGTTATTATCATGTATACAGTGTACCAAAGAGTAGTGACTGATGGGAAAGTGGGACAGTGGAGAGAAATAAAGAAAATCAGAGATGTTTCTGTGAGAGAATTGAAAATAGCGTTGGAGAGAGGAAAGGTGTATCAGTTTGCGATTACTGCAACTAATGAGCTTGGTGAAAGCCTGAAACAAAAGGGAGCAAATATCCAGCAAGTCAAGGCAGAAGGAAGTATGTTCAAATGAATCTTATTTTCCCCTTTCAACGGTTTATCCTTTTCTTTACTTAGTTTTCAAGCACTCTCCGTGTCATGAACATCGAGGCTTTTACGGGTGAATTCTTCGCTTGCAAGAACCTGAATCAACGAGAAAAATTTTACTTACGTCGCAGTTGATATTTGTATGCCAACTGCAAATATATGGCATATCTATTAACTGAGATTTTAATCATTGGCTGGCACACACAAATAAGTCTAACACATGCTGATCTGAATCTGATAAGAGAAGCGTGCAACGCTTTGATTTAATCTTCTTACATTTAAATCAACTGCTTTTTTCTTTCCTTTGCTGCCATCACTTAATTTATGCATCTCTCCCACATCAAAAAATTTCACTCTCCCACACTGAATTCCGAGAACTCTTCTGTCATTTTCACCACTACGGCACTTTATTCTTCATACCGATGAAAGCGACTTAGAACTTAGCCTCCTCTGCGCACCGTAATTTCGACACCAGATTACTGAACTGCGAGAACTCAGAATTGTCGGCGATTTCGCTTTAGCTTAATTAAGAATGTATGATCACGCTGCCTCACGCTGCGAACAGAGAGGTTGTCTATCTTTTCACAGGTTTTCTTCGTTGAGGCTACAGAGCGTGACGCAAACTTCCCGTCTCAAGGTCATGAAGGGGTATTCATTTTCTAAGCTCTTAGGTCTTAGTTTTCGGGGATCTTCGTTTTCGCTACAAACGTAGTTCGCTTTCTCTTTGTTGATGATCTCTTTTCAGTATCTTTTCTGGAGCTCTTTGTATTCCCTTCTCACGTTGGTCTTCTCTAGATATTCGCCATTCTACTTTACCCTTTTCTTGTTCTCTTTCGTATTCCTCTCGCTCTGTGTTCTGCCTATTCTTCGTCCTATCAAACCCCATTTCGCGTTTTTCTCGACTCGCTCCACGCCTTTTAAGTTCCTTCACTCTTTGGTCTCTCTCTGTCTCTCTGTCTGTCTCTATGTTTCTCTCTACGTCCTTCTCTCTGTCTCTTTCTCTGTCTCTCTGTCTCTGTCTGTCTGTCTGTCTGTCTGTCTCTCTCTCTCTCTCTCTCTCTGGTCTCTCTCTCTGGTCTCTCTCTCTGGTCTCTCTCTCTCTCTCTCTTTGGTCTCTCTCTCTGGTCTCTCTCTCTGGTCTCTCTCTCTTTGGTCTCTCTCTTTGGTCTCTCTCTCTTTGGTCTCTCTCTCTGGTCTCTCTCCCTGGTTTCTCTCTCTTGTCTCTCTCTCTGGTCTCTCTCTCTGGTCTTTCTCTCTGGTCTCTCTCTCTGGTCTCTCTCTTTGGTCTCTCTCTCTCTGGTCTCTCTCTCTGGTCTCTCTCTCTTGTCTCTCTCCCTGGTTTCTCTCTCTTGTCTCTCTCTCTGGTCTCTCTCTCTGGTCTTTCTCTCTGGTCTCTCTCTCTGGTCTCTCTCTCTGGTCTCTCTCTCTGGTCTCTCTCTCTTGTCTCTCTCTCTCTGGTCTCTCTCTCTGGTCTTTCTCTCTGGTCTCTCTCTCTGGTCTCTCTCTTTGGTCTCTCTCTCTGGTCTCTCTCTCTCTGGTCTCTCTCTCTGGTCTCTCTCTCTGGTCTCTCTCTTTGGTCTCTCTCTCTGGTCTCTCTCTCTGGTCTCTCTCTCTGGTCTCTCTCTCTGGTCTCTCTCTCTGGTCTCTCTCTCTGGTCTCTCTCTCTGGTCTCTCTCTCTGGTCTCTCTCTCTGGTCTCTCTCTCTGGTCTCTCTCTCTCGTCTCTCTCTCTCTCTGGTCTCTCTCTCTGGTCTCTCTCTCTGGTCTCTCTCTCTGGTCTTTCTCTCTTTTCTCTCACTCTGGTCTCTCTCTCTGGTCTCTCTCTCTGGTCTCTCTCTTTGGTCTCTCTCTCTCTCTTTGGTCTCTCTCTCTCTCTTTGGTCTCTCTCTCTCTCTTTGGTCTCTCTCTCTCTCTTTGGTCTCTCTCTCTCTCTCTGGTCTCTCTCTCTCTCCCTCTATTTCTTCCGTTTGGAAAAGGGAAAAGCTTTAGCTCTGAGTATCGTTGCTTTGCAAGTGTATTAGAAATTGCAAAATACCAAGAATCACTTTTCAACAACAACCTCACCGGTATGATTTCCCGCTCAAAATACGGGTTGCAAATTCTTTTCTTGCGCTGCTTCACATCCTCTAACCAACATGAAACCTTTCTAGGTTTCTACAAACATCTTTGAAGTCGAATCTTAAGTCTCTTTTCGTTATCAAGTTTGAGATGAGATATTGTAGTTCTAGCCTGTCTTCGTTTAAATCAAATTTTAGCAGCGCAAGAAACAGAAACAAGACAAATTCCGTATTTCAGTGGCTAGAGTTGCCAAGATCATTGAAATTTGGTTTAAAGAGGACAATCGTGAAACACGAATAATCTGAAGAGAAGAACTGAAAACAGGTTGAAAGTGACTATTCTTTTTAATTTAGTACAACTATCGGAGGAGTTTGACACGATAGAGAAAACTGTGGAGTGAACAATCATAACTGGCGACATAAAGAGAAGATATAAGAGAAGCCCGTACGTTTCTGGCGTATTGTTTCACTGACTCACTCTTCTCATTTATACCCATCTATTAGTCGACAGGTAATCTCTTAACTGGAAGTTTCTTATGGTCGTTTCTTTCAACTCTGACTCATTTTCCCATACCAAAGTTCACAATAATGCTCAATGAAATATCATTTCATCCGACGCTGACATCATACACGACATCTGAAGAAGAAAACATTATTTATTCTGAACCTGTGCGCACTCTGATTGCCTTGCATCATGGTCGCAAAAGTAAAACTGAAGCCCCGTTTAAACGGTCATGATAGTTGACGATAGTCTCAACTATCAAGCGCGTTTGAACACGAACTGTCATGTTCTATCATCGCATTTCATCAAAAATCATGTAGTTTTGACATGTCTAAATTCGACATGATAGTTAATGATAGTTTTTGCTGTTTGAACGAGAGGAAGATGGTGAATGACAGTTGTTAGGTCAGCAGTTTTGCCAAACAACGGGCTCAAACCGAAATGGCAATGGTAAAATGACTAAAATAGCCGTCGAAATTTCTCAGAATGTCTCGTAGTTAATTCCCATCATTTCCTGGTAGGCTTCAGTATCTTTAACTTGTAACTTCATGACTAAAATTTCAAGTGCCACTGAAATTGCTGACCTCAGCGCGCACCGTATTTGTGTACAATTACGCGATCTCATTGCGTGATATTTTGTCAACTATCATTGGCTGTCACGAACCATTTGAACACAAACTTGATAGTCAATGATGTGAATGAAAGTTGAAACTGTCATTCAGTTGTCTATCATTAACGTTCATGATCGTTTGAACGGGGCTTAAGTCATTTGCATCTTGTCGCAGTCGAGTGAACATCTTTGATGGAAGAGAGAGTAGCGAGAAATGTATAGAATGGGAATTCATTGTCTGTTGCTGCTCCTTCGTTAAAAAGGAAAGTTAAAAAGAGTTGAAGGGCCTGTGGGCTCTCGTAATTCTTCCGCGACCAAATTCGTTCTTAGGAGGCAACTAAAGAGATTCAGAAAGAATCGAAACAGCAGTCTTGCTTAAGAATTTTCACGAACGGCAGCGATTACACTCCCAGCTGATGACTGTGTGAAAGATATTGAATTCAGAAATTGCATTCCTAGACGGGACTTATTTAAAATGACAGGGAATCGACCCTTGACATGCAAATGTATTAAAAAGAGCTGGAGTCATCCACCAGGCGTAAATAGGGGGCTGGAATTTGAGGTCACTATGTTGGTCACTGTATCAGTGCTACTTTTTCCACCAGAGAGGAACTCAGTAATTTTTTAATTGCGGTCAGTTACTTTCATTGAGCTCTAAAATAGATCTAGGAAATTTCTGACACCTGTTTGGCTTCTCTAGAAGTCAAAGTTAACAGATAACAGTCTATGCATCAGTGGGTGTGCTACAGACCCACGATGTCTCATAGTTTTGTCATCTTCATTCTATCACATGTCAAGAATACCATTCCTTGTTCTCAGTGTCTCAGGCTTCATCGCCTATATATTGACAGTTCTGATTTTCCAAGATGTCAGAGGTAATACGCCAGTTCTTCTCCTACCTTTGTCATTCAAGGGAGTCTTAAACAACTGATCGAAAGTCGGCATTCTACAAACGTCACAGAAGGAAAAAAATGATCGCATTCCATTTTACCGGCAAGACCTGTCCTTCTAACAAATTTAAATTACTTCAAAATAATCCAAAAACTGGTATATTATTTTCGCATAAAACATAGACAACTGTTTGGTCAGAAATACTTTCTAAATAAATGATCAACCCGAGGCTTTCACCTTGCGTGCATGACACAAAACTCTTCCTTTCATAAATAATGTTGAGACTGCCTCCACCAATGTCATCTGTCATAACTTGCGGTTATTTAAAAAATTTATACTTCGGCGAAAAAGGAAGACGACTTGGGGAACGATTCTGAGAACACCATTGTGACGCAAAATACAAGAAAAAAAATATCTCTCAAATTGGCCTCACATTCGTACATTTTAGGCCAGTGTTCTTTGTAAGTAAAGGCTGTTTTTTACACAGGAGTTCAAATGATAATTCTTGTGCAAACAAACAAACGTTCATTTTCAGTCGTATTTTGTTTTTCCTTAATTCAAACAGTAAGCTCAGAAGTTTACCTGACAGCGACAATACAGGAGGACTGTAGCAGACGTTCAGAAGTTGCTGCGAAATTTCCAGAAATGGTTAGATAATCTACTTGATCCACATACTGGAGTTTATGGAATACTGCCATGAGATTTATCATGAAAAGTGAATCTTAATCAATCTGTTCTTGAATGAAATTGTAATATTTCTGTTAAAAAAGATATTTTGAGCGATCTTCAATATGTGACAAGTATTTGACATTTTTTCTTGATATGTCCTTTTAGGCTTGTCAAATTGCCTTAAGGTTTGGCTGCTCATCCGCCAACACTGTGAACACCAGGTAAAGTACAGTTTGTTGTTCTACACTGAAACTACAAATGCAAACTCAAATTTGCCTTCTAGTAGGGGAGAGGAGCTTTTTCTCAGTATGTTGTATTTTAGCGGTAAAACTGGTTTTTCTTCTCGAGCAAATCTTATCTAATGCAAGATAATTTACATTTAATGTACAGTAATATATTGGCACAGAATGATATGAATTAATCTTATTTACCTTAATTTATTACATTGGTTAAATCTCAATATGTTTTAACACTTAAAAGTCACCAAAGTACAAATATGTGCGATAATACTCTTTGCTCTTTTCCGCCCCCCCCCCCCTCCCCTTATCTAGGTGTGGCAGTGTTGTTCTTGACTTCATGATGAGGTTCAATCAAAGTGTAGTCGTCAGCAATGTTTTGATTGTCCTGTCGGATGCTGCAAGGCAAGACAAATTCGGAGGTTTTAAAGTCAATCCAGACTCAATTAAACAAGTTTTAATATCCACGGATGGCTCGGAAAGCACAACAAAAGGTAAATTTTACAAAGAAATCGTTAAATGGTTACACGTATTCTTCCGAAGATGGACTGTTTATGATTGTATTCCGTATCTGTTTAATTAAACAACTTCATCTGTGACTGATAAATTTCCAGGTTTTTTTTTTTCGATATTGTTGTTTTATTTAAGGTCCTGAAGAATGCAACTGCCTATCTAACAACGTCTTGTTAGCCATAATTGGGGTTCTTGCCTTCACAATCCTTCTTCTAATCATTTACATAATCTGGCTACATAAGAAAGGTAGGTAAAAGAATCATAATCTGTGATAGAAGGTTTGGCTGTAAGATTCATTATTAAGCAAAAGCAAATTTTTACCCACATCCACATCACTGTTCTTTTTTTCCTTTCGTTCTTTTTCAGGCGCTGTAGGGAAACAGAGGTAAGAATTTGCTGCCAGTAGGATTGTGTCGACGAAATGTAGCAGATATGGTTTCATCTTAACAAAAAATTCCAATCAAAACTGATGAAATTCTAAGCGTTTTATAATTATTTCTATGCTTTCGCAATTGTAGGACTTATGAAGATGAAAGAGGTGTTTGCTACGTAAGTTAAAGTTAAGACATTGAGGTCATGTTTGTGTGGCCAGATATTATGTAATCTCACTTTACCTCTACTTTCTATAAGAAAATAAACGCTTGCAGCTAATAGAAAGGAAAAAATATGTAGTTCTACATAAAAAAAAAGCATATTGCATCAGTGGCAGATACAATGAAATAGAGGAGGAAGTTAGGCTTGATAAGGTCTTTGTCCTGTGATCATGTCCTAAGCTGCTCCATGTATTTTCTTTCGGTTGTCCCTGGTTCAACTGCCTGGCTTCACTTCAATGATCGCGAACTGTTCTGCACCCGGTTGATATTTGCTTTCTAAACAATTGATTTCGCGCATTTTTTGCCGTCTTATTTTCTTGATGCTTTATTTTCTAAAGGTGAGTTTAGGAGCTGAGTACAGCACGATTTTGTTCCTGCGTTTATTTGTCAACAATTGCACTACCAATCGACAATCTTCATGTTGCAGTTTGTGGCTTCGGCGAATATGCTATGAGCCTCGATCACTCCACTGAACATGATAGTTTCAAAAGCAGGGAACAAAATGTTAGTGATAACAAAGTGTTAGTAATAAAAAATGTTAGTAATAATAAGAACAAGAGATTATAAACTATTTTTCATCTCTTGTCACGGAAGAATATAAACGTTTGTCTGAGAAAAATGGGTGAACTTATTTTTATAACCAACGGTGTGTTGGTTTAATAGAATGGAACAGGATTAGAAGATATCGAACCAAGTCAGCCCGATTCAAGAAAACTCACTCAGCCTCCTGCTGAATACATGGATCTCATAGAAGTCAACAAAGATAATAGAAAAGCACAAAGAACAGCTCCAGGTGCTGATTACGCGCCTCTTCATCCGTTAACACGCTGCTGGGAAGTTCCAAGACATCACGTGACCATAGAAAAAATAATTGGTAAAGGCGCTTTTGGTCAGGTTGCCAAGGGAACAGCAGTAGGACTTCCAGGGAGTTCTGAGACGACCACAGTGGCTATTAAGATGCTTAAAAGTGAGCTCTTGTACTGTAAATTGAATGACAGTCTTGGCCTACAGACATTCAAGAATTGTTACTGGGTTAATGTAATTTTTTAGCTATTTGCCTTTTCATAACTTATGTTGTTATTTCGACATCATTCCCGTTAACCAAATTTTACTCCTTGTTTTTAACATTCAAGCAAACGCTACTGAATCGGACAAGAGAGATTTGATGAAAGAACTTGACACAATGAAGCAGCTGAAACCACATCCTTACGTCATTAAACTTCTGGGATGTGTTACAAAATCTGGTATGCTTTGGTTATGCGGGTCTCATTTTCTTGTACACATTTTGCATGTGATTTACTCTGTAACGCTTTCTCTTCGTCGATAATTTGCGTCAATGGAAGAGTCACTGCTTCACAATTGAGCACAACAAACAACCATCGCATAAGGTAATTTTATCTTGTTTTAGCCAATACAGACGTTCCTGGATTTAGTGACAGACTAAGACCGAATATTTGTCACTGGGCAGATCATTCTGTTATGCAGAAACGCTTTTTGTGAGGGAATAATTGGTCTGTACCTTCTTATGAGATCGTTACATAGGTTTTCTTGTTTTCGTGCGATTTCTTCAAGTGTTGACCATAACTGGGGTATTTATTTATTTTATTTTAATTATTGCTAATTTTTTTAAAGGAGAGTAATATATCAACTAAATTGTTTAATTTCTTCAGAACAGCTGTTGGTTTTGATTGAATATGTGCCTTTTGGGGATCTGCTGGGTTACCTGAGAAAGAGCCGTGGATTAAAAGACACTTACTACAAAGACCCGGATATCAAACCACAAACAAATCTTACGTCGCAGCAGCTGATGAGGTTTTCTTGGCAAATTGCTGATGGAATGAGTTACTTGTCCGCAAAATCTGTAAGTTAATTAAAAAGACAAAACACAAACAATTCTAAAACATTCTTGTAAGGTCTATCGTCATGTTAAGCACTGTCTTGCATAGAATATTATGTCTTCACAAGATCATGCCCGGGAGTTACAAATGTATTCCAACCGTCTTGATGAGTCTATTTCTTTAGGGCCAGGAGCCCTCCCAAATTTGACGTCATCATATAAGTTTTATTTCAATGTGAGAATGGCGATATTTGTGCATCTTTGCAAGTGCACCCCATCGAAATAAAATATCTGGATTTTTCTTGTGCAGGCAAAGCAGAGACGTAAATGCATAGGATCTTTTAAGATATTCAGCTTAAACTGAGTGTACAACAAACATCCATTTTAGTGACAAGGAAGAAAAGGAATTAAAACTTCAAATTAAAAAATTCATCTTTTGTCGCTAAACTGCTTCATTGAAGAATCCTATTTCGATTAAAATCTTAAGATAAGCGTTCTTTGAAATAACTACGTATTGCAGACATAAAGTAGTTTGCTTCTCTTTGGAATATGGAGGAGTTATTGTAGTAGTTTTAATTTTCTGCCATCTGGAAGAAAGAGAAATACGCACACCATATTATGTTGTAGATATTTCTATTTTCCTATCCGAACCACTTCATTTCAGTTCTTTTTCTTCTGCAATCGCTAATTTTTGCTGTTGCATCAATTCTTTCCAAGATCATTCACCGAGACCTTGCGGCCCGTAATGTGTTGGTTGGACAAAAGGAAACTTGTAAAGTGACAGACTTCGGAATGGCCAGAGATGTGCAGCAGGAAAATATTTATGAACGAAAGACTAAGGTAATCAAGAAAAAGGGGAGGTGAGGGCGGTATTACATATCGTTTAGTTTAGTGATCTTTCACAATTATTGTTGTTTTAATGCTGATATATTCCTGATTTCGATCATGAATTCCTTGGGACCCTAATGAAAATATTATCCATGCGTACACGAGTACAACTTTAAATATCACCGGTTTTTGACTTGTCGCTACCTATAATTCTCGAGCTGTTTCACAAAGTGGTATTTAAAATCTTTAGGGCCGTCTTCCCGTGAAGTGGACAGCTTATGAGGCCTTATTGTATGGTAAATATACCACCAAAAGTGACGTGTACGTATACCTGATTATCAACCGTAGCAATTTATCAACAAGTTTTATCAGTTTTAGTCAGGACTTGAATTCTATGCTTTGTCAAAGAATACATATATTTTATTTGTCGTATATACTGTTTATGTCTATAGTCACTTAATTTATATTCGTTTGATTTGTCTTTCTGCAGATGGAGTTATGGAGTTTTGTTGTACGAGATTTTCACCATAGGTAACATCGAAAGGAAGTTTATGAGGCTCTTAATTAAACAATGTATCGTGTTCAGTTAGACAAGCGTAATAAGCTTCCCCATGCAACCTCAAACTCCATTAACTGATAGAGGTATGTTTTAGTGAAGGTCTTTTTTTCGTCACATTTATATTTCGATGGTCTTGTGGTTCTTCCAGGCGGTTCACCTTACCCACGAATGGATGGAAGAAAAATTGCAAACTTACTACAGGATGGATACAGGATGCCTAAACCACAACACGTCGATGAAAAATTGTAAGTTTTCTTTGTTACCTCGTTCTCTCTCATTGTACAAGGATATGCTCTTTAAATCTCAAAAAGATCACTTGAACAATGCCAGGTATCAAGTCATGATGAAATGCTGGAAGAATGACCCAGACGCAAGACCAACTTTTACTGAATTGAAAAATCAGCTTAAGGACATGGAAACCCTACACAAGGTCAGAATTTTTATCAGTATGAAAGTTTCTTTTTACGTAGGACCGATTGGCTCAGGCTAAGCTAATTAGGGTTAAACTTAAAAGGCTAAATAGCGTAGTTATATGTACTCATCTCAGTAGTTTTTACGAAGTTTGGATTGCATCTTTTTGTTATGTGACTGAAGCTAGCACTCCACGAAAAACAGCAAAGAAGCGAAGTAGAATGTCTCAATGACAATTAACACGTTATGGTTATTTAAAAGATCATAGGATGATTGCAAAACTGCATTGAGACGCACAAAGGGTAGCAGACAACGACGCCATGAATACTTCGTTCTTGAATTTGTTTTGGTGTGAAAACCTAACCACTTGTGAAGATAACCACTTAAAACTTTTTTGATGATGCTGATTATTATATTATTTTTCTCTGCAGAAGCTGATCAACATGACAATGTACGACAAGCAGTTGTATGCAAACGTCGAGGATTTAACAGTGTAGTTAGATACGCGTCCACGGTGTATGACTGGCTAACATTTTGAACACTTCGCCCACACAAGTCTCAGGGATTAATCACCGTTTCCTTACACGCTTACTTGGTAGAAATAGCCATGTTGCGTTTAGCAGTTAGGCTGGAACGTTGTAATTCAATTGACTTTATGTTCTTAAACGCTAAACTTTTATAAGTTTACTGATAAAGTTACTCTCATTTTCTCTTTAACATATTAAGTACTTACATGTATGCCTCGACACAAGCGATCGAGTTCAGTTTATTTTCTGGCTCAATTCTGAGGTGGTGATTCTCTTCACGACATTAATCTATTATATCTTGACCCATCTCTGTAGATCTCTCCTTTTAAGGAAGGACAAAACCAAACCAAATTAAAAGAGCTTCCTGAAGTGCAAAAAATCGCTTGTACGTGTTTCAGGAGACTTACATCCAAGAGACCATGTTCTCCTGTCACTGTCAGTAGAGGTTAAGAGTCTATCGATCTTACATAATTATAAACTAGGTTACCTTTTGGTCAAAAGCCTTCTTTCCTCAGTTGATATAAATAATTGCACTCGAAACAGTACCTAGTATAAAAACAACGCTCTTTCAGTCTGGAGTAGAGGATACCTGAGGAATAATCTTAACATTTAAATGAAGGAGAGAGAGTTTTGCATCTGTTTGGAAATATTCCCTGACGTTATTTTGTTTCTGGGGGCAAAATGATGCTTCAGCATACAGAGGAGAGGGGGTGAAATGGAGGGGGGGAGGGGGGTTGGTCGTAGCTTTGCACGATGAATTAACCGAAATTTTTAGATATGATTTTTTTGAAGGTTTTTGCGGAGTAGGAAATTAGCTTTATCCTAACATTTCTGCAAATGTCGACATTTGTCAAATACATGGTCTGGTAGGACTAAAAGAAACTACATTTTAAGATTTAAGGTTCCTAGAAGAGCAGAAATGGTGGTTGAAAGGAAAAATGAGTAAATTTCTTTAAGAGGATATAATAGATTACTTTTTTCCGAATCCGCCATTCTAAACGACATCACGAGTCCAACCCTGATGCAAAGATTGTGTCATTGGTGAGCTAAGTTATAGTCTGTAGTGGGATAAGTTACGTTTACTGAGGATAATTACTGTACTGCTTTTAGGAGTCGCTCCTTGGTAAGAATATTACACTTTGTTTGATAAGGTAGTTGGGTTTGTAGGAGTATCATAAGTGTTCTTTCTGTCGGTTAAATCATACCTTAACAGCTGTGTTCAGCAGTTAACAATTGATATTCCCTTGCAAAATATCCAATCACAAAGAGAACACTAGAGAGGGTCTCTATCCTCGTCTCTTGCACTTTGATAGGGGTGTCACTTAACTTCCGAGATTTACGCTGCTAGTCTTGAGTCACTTATATTGCGGTTCTCTCGAGATAAGACATAATCAACTAACAAAATAATTAGTAACCGTTGCAGCTATCAAATAGTTGGCATTCAGCTTTACATAGAGACAGAAACTATCAAAAAACCTTTAGTCCTAACTGATTTAAGGTCTACTCTGATTTCGCTTTACAATTCATTCTGCTTTCTGTCGAGAAAGAACGTCATAAAAATTGTGGCCGATTATCTACAAAGATTTCTGAAAAGAATATCATTATTTCATTTTTGATCATTCTATAAACCCAAAAGGTCAGCACAAAAGAACTATCTGTGGTAAGAGGGAATGCTTTCCTTTCTTCATTTAAAGAAATACTGAGGTTATCTTCTTTCCACAAGCGCAGTGGAAAGTGAGAGTGAGAGAGACTGATATTGACTATGTTATTTGAATATATATCCAGAGGAGGCTAAAAAGTAAGATATGGTCCGCACAACTCTCTTATAAGCATTGATAAGAAACACCATGCATCAATGAAAGCTTGAGAAAGAGTATTTAATGCAATTTTAATAAAACTATTGCATGTTACAATGTGGTAACTTACACAACAAAATTATATAATCACATAACCCTAAACAAAGAAAGTCAGGTTATTGACTCACCTGCTTCAACTTTGAGGGCTTAAGGTACAGAGAAATAGATATGGCAAACAGTTATAATTTATACAAAGTTGAAAGTTTGAAAGCTGAAAGATGTACATTACAATCATTAGACCCTATGCATCCTGGCAAAGAAAGGGTCAATTACCACCATAACTTCTCCCAAACCTTCATGCTTACAGGAAATTATTAATTTTTGTCAGTAGGTGGTACTGTACTTACAATAGTTCTACCAACACAATTACATTTTTCTAAAGTTATCTCATCGCATATGACTGAACAGGTCATGTGGAAAGTTCCTGCGTGGGCACTGGGCACCCCAGCAAACTGCAAACGTCAGAATTCCAAGCCAAGGTGTATTTACCAAGTGCTCAAGTTTCCAAATTAGTCACCTAATTGTTACTGTGGAGTTCACTCCTTTTCTTGAGGCTATCTTCAGCTTGGTCATCCTGTTACATGTGAAAACATCAAATGTTAAAGGAAATGATCACCAACTAAAAAAGCTCTTGAGTGTTAAACAAATTCTCCTTGTTAGCACATCAGGAAATGTATGGAGAACAGCGTGGAGAATATGCATACTGATGTTAGGGTGTAAAGGATTAAGTGTGATGTTTTTGATGATGTGTACTTTTTCTCATGGACATCTAATTTTAGTATCTTTTACAAGCTGATATACGAGAAGAATCAAGTCCACACTGGTAATTTGACACATTGCAGGCAAACCCTACAACTTATTAAATTTTATTTGATCAAAAACATAAAGGGCAAAAGAAGAAATTGACCAGCACAATTCAAGTTTCCCTTCTTAAGTATTCTGTGATGTTTCTTCTATCATATGGTAGAGTTTACAGTTTTTCCTCATTTCACTGTCTTCTATTCATTTGTTTGTTTGCTTTCCTAACAATCTTAACTACACTGTATTGTTGCCAACAAATGCATGGAGTGGAATATGAAATGTGTACAGTTATTTCCCGTATGGCTCGGCGAATAATTAATGAACTTACTTCGAGAAAGTAGCATTAGCGATCCGCTGGAACTTTCGTCTGTTTTTAATGATCATTTTTCTATTATTGGACTGAAACTTATCAATGCCATCCAACAGAATGGAGACACCCCGTCTTACCTGGATTATGTTAAGGAGACCGACCATAGATTCGAACTCAAAACCACTGACTGTTCAAAAGTTTTTTTCTTTACTATCTAAACTTTGTAAATCTAAAGCGACGGGACTAGATAAAATTTCGGAACGACTTCTTCGAGAGTATGCTGATCTGGTCGCAAGTTCTCTTTGTGCCATTTTCAATAGATCTATTATATCTGGCATTTTTCCTACTGAGTGGAAATCCACAAAAGTAATTCCTTTATTTAAACAGGGAGAACATTCCGAGTTAAATAATTACCGCCCTATTTCTATAATTCCTGTTGTGGCTAAGGTTTTTGAGAGAATCGTATACAATCAATTTTACGAATATTGAACTGAAAATAACCTAATTTCCTGTAATCAGTCAGGATTTCGTTCCCTTCACTCCACTGTTACCGCCTTACTTGAAACCAAAGATAACTGGGCTTTTAATATCGATAAAGGTAATGTTAATGCAGTGATTTTTTTTTATCTGAAGAAAGCTTTTGACATCGTCGATCACTCTATATTGCTATCTAAATTAAAAGCCTATGATGTCGGAAGCAACTCGGCTAACTGGTGTAAATCTTACTTGAACAATCGTACGCGGAAATGCTCTGTAAATGGCTCTGTCTCGGATAGTCAACCTTTAACTTGTGGTATCTCTCAAGGTACAATCCTTGGACTTCTCCTCTTTATATTCTATATAAATGATCCACTGAACTGTCTTGTTAACTCACATCCCAGAATATATGCGGGTGATACTCATTTGACCTTTGCCAATAACGATGTTGCCTATCTCGAGGAAAATATGAACGATGATCTAACTAAAATTACTGAATGGTTATCGGCAAATAAAATCACTCTTAATAAGTTTAAGACTGAGTTTATGTTGATTGGTTCAAGGCAAAGGTTAAATACTTTTAATAGACTTCCTTCTTTTGCTATTGACGGTAATTCTATAAAACAAGTAGAATTTACGAAATCTTTTGGAGTATATATAGATGAAAACCTAACTTGCAACGTACCATGATATCGAACATATTTCTAAAAAAATTGGCTCCTGCATTAGCATCTTGAAGAGAAGCAGATCTTTCGTTCCTTTTGAAACGCTCCTATGCATCTGTGATGCCATAGTTTAACCTCATTTCGATTACTGTAGTGACGTATGGGGGAATTGCAATAAATCTCTTTCCATTAAACTGCAAAAACTACAGAATCCCGTTGCGCGTATTTTGACCTCTTCTTCATATGATGCCAATGCGGATGATCTCTCTGTTAGACTAGGCTGGCAAAAACTTAATCTCCAACGAGAATTAAAAACAGCCACAACGGTCTATAAATCTCTTGATGGTCTCGCCCCTGATTATCTAAATTAATGTTTACTGATCGGAGTGCAATATCTGCCTATTCTCTTAGGAATTGTGGCGGCAAACTAGCCATTCCACCCCCCCGCACCAATTTTCTAAAAAACAGTTTCAGCTATAATGGTGCTGTGATGTGGAACAGCTTACCTACCAATCTGCGGCAAGCACAAACTATTGCTAATTTTAAATCCGGCTGCAAGGGTTTCCTTTTCGATAATAGATAAGTTAATTAATCACACGGCATTCATGGAAAGCAGGCACTTCATTATTGTTTTTATTTTGTTATTATTAGATTTAATTAGTGGTAGATTAGTATCTTAATAATGTAATTAATGCAATTTTAGTAATTACTTTAAGTCCTGATGTTTTATCCATGTATAAATAAAGTTAAATAAATAAATAATAATAAATAAATTCATACCTCTCGCTTGACTTCGTTCATGACGGCACCACACAAGATCAGTCGTGTTTGCCTATTTTTATTATGGTTTGCTTTACATTTTATTTTTCTGCACTCCAAATTAGTCTTACACTCTTTTGAATCATTTTTTTTTTTCAAGAATGGCTCTACATTTATTCTTTTTTTTCACTTGGTCTTGTACCTCTGGCTGGTAGGATCTTAAGAGGCTTCAAAAATGCTACTGGCTAGAGGTACAGCTTGCATATTTAGTCGACTTTGCCCAATATCTACTGTGGTTTGCTCCAAATTTTACTTTTCTGCACTCCAAATTAGTCTTACACTCTTTTGAATCACTTTTTTCAAGAATAGGTCTACATTTATTTTTTTTCACTTGGTCTTGTACCTCTGGCTGGTAGGATCTTAAGAGGCTTCAAAAATGCTACTGGCTAGAGGTACAGCTTGCATATTTAGTCGACTTTGCCCAATATCTACTGTGGTTTGCTCCAAATTTTACTTTTCTGCACTCCAAATTAGTCTTACACTCTTTTGAATCACTTTTTTCAAGAATAGGTCTACATTTATTTTTTTTTCATTTGGTCTTGTACCTCTAGCTGGTAGGATCTCAAGAATACTACTGGCTAGAGGTACAGCTTGCATATTTAGTCGACTTTGCCCAATATTTACTGTGGTTTGCTCCAAATTTTACTTTTCTGCACTCCAAATTAGTCTAACACTCCTTGGAATCGCTTTTTTCAAGAACGTATTGAGCTTAATTTTATTTAGTCTTGTACCTCTAACTGCTAGGAATTTTCATATCAGCTAAAGAAAGCAATTCTGCCATGCAATCATCATTTATGAAACAGAAGTAGAAAACACGGTTATTATCACTCCTTGGAAAGCAGAAATGTGAATCTTCTGAGCCCTCCATTTCATTCTATTTGATACAAACACACTCTCTATGGATATTTCCCAGCTGTGGTCCTATTTTCTTTTTAATTTTTCAATTTTTTACTTTTTTTGCCCCAAGGCAGGCAAAGGTCACAGACAACATATCTTCAAATGTTACAATGTTTTGTTGTTCAAAATGGTTGACAATCGGGACTGAAAATCTCTCATTGTAAAATAGGAAAATTGACTGTCCTACTGGATTGAGGCCCAGCGTAAAGCAAGCATCAGTTCCCGTTTTTTTATACAATCACATAAATACTGGAAAGGCAGCAACAAGAAAAAATTACGATGTTGACAACAAACTCTGAATTACAGCTCTATGATCTCTGGCGTAAGTTACAAATGTGTGCCTGCTACCGGTCAGGAAAAACCCCCTTTTTATCTGACGAGGAAACTTGAACCTTCCTGAATGCAAAGTCAGACACTGACCATGAACCTCCAGGGAGGGAGGTTGAACTAAAGTATCTAAATACAAACTGCGAATAAATTATGCACCACCTACAATCACATTGAATTATGTGCAAAGAAAATCGGTGTAAGTTAAAAGAAATGTATTGTAGGATACAAACAAATCAGCAGCGATGTCAGCGTAGAGGGATTTGCCCCAGTAAAATCCCGCCATCCTATTTCCACGTGTACATGACCTCTAAAAAAGTTAGAACTGTGAAAATAATAATTTGCTGCTATTCTTAGAACCGCAGCAAAAAACACCATGTGTTTGTCACCTTAGCATTTTTTCTTCGTAGCTTCTAAGCTGCATGCCTGTCAGTGCCCTGATGACAATCATACACACGCTTATCAGTGATAATAAAAGGAACTCCATCATATGTGATCCTTGGTTGGGACATTGCAGTCTGGGGATCTTAAAAAAATACCCCTGTGACAAATCAAAAGGGCATTGAAGAGACATTTATTCATTCAGTCATTCATTTATTAATTTTGTCTGGTAGTCAGTCAGTCAGTTAGTCTGTGCGGAAGGCACGCGCTGTTGGTATTGACTTTTAGATCAGGTCTGAAATAGGATGTCGACCCTAGATAGCAAAATTTACGTGAAAACTTCACGAGAAGATAGGCCGATTAAAATAAACGACCTAGAAGATCTAGAAAACGTACAAAGGAAACACGACATTCCAAAGGATGATAAACTGTACGGAAAATGGGAACGTAAATCGAACAGGTGCACGAGGATGGAACACTCTCAAAATTTTTATGGTTTGTTTGTTGTGTATAGGTATGTGTGTTTAGATGATATTAATATCAATTTCACTATTATTGTTTCTATCCAAACTTGCCTTGATTTTATTTGGTTTTGCACCGATTTTCATACATGTTCATCAACCACTTTGCTTTATTGAAATGGCTAAGTATACAACATAGTTTTTTACCCTTAATATTGCATGTTTTTTTTCTTCCAAGTAATAAGGCTAATCTTATTTGCTATCTGTTATTTAGCAAAATTTACATCTACAAACCTCGCCTAATTATTCTATGTCGCATATGTTGAAAAATGCTTTCTCTAAATATGCGAGGATTACGTAATGGTAACAAACGAAGAGCAATTTTCTCATGCTTAAAAAAAGTCAAAAAGCTACAATCTTTTGTTTGCAAGAAACCTACTCATCACCCGAAGATGAAAAATTGTGGTCTGCAGAATGGGGCGCCAGTATAATCTATTCGCGCGGAACCACACACTCAAAAGGAGTTTGCATTCTTTTAAATCCCAGCTCACCTTTCAATGTATGTACCATTAAAGTGGATCCCGAGGGAAGATTCTTAATTGCAAAACTTACAATTGAGGAGAAAAATTTTTCATCACAAACATTTACGGCCCAAATAACGGTTTGTGTCCTTGTGTACCGGTACACAAAGGAACGAAACATTAACGAACTGCGTCACAACTCCATGTATGGATATGAAAACAATAGGAATTCCCCCGTGTACCGGTACACCAGGACAGCCCCCAAATAACTGTCACGACCAAGACGACTTTATAAAAACACTAAGCCAACAACTTATGTCTAAAACTGATACATCAAAAGTCATCATATCCGGTGACTAGAACATCACTCTTAATCAAATTGACAAACTTGGCGGTCTTCCGTGGAAGGCTACAAGCGGTAGAAATACACTCGTAGATCTCATGGAGGAACTAAACCTTACTGATGTTTATGGTGAACTGCAACAAAAGTCTAAATCCTTTACTTACGTATCAAAATCGTTGAACCTAAAATCGAGGATCGACTACTTTCTTATTCCGCGCTCGCTTTTTTCCGATGTTCGACGAGCGGAAATTCGTATTTCGACAGCGTCAGACCACAACGCGATCTTCTTAAGTATCCACTTTAAAAGTGAGTTCAATAGAGGTCCAGGTTTATGGAAATTTAACAACACACTGTTGGAAGACAATAACTATAAAGAACTGATCGCATTCTACTATCCAAAAATGTTAAGAAAATACTCCGAAGTTACAGATAATCAGCTTCTATGGGAATTAATCAAGATGGAGTTACGCACAAAAACTATAGGATAATCAAAAGAGAAAAGATGTAAATTAAGAAACAAGAGAGAGGCTCTTCAGAAAGAGTTACAAGAAATAGACATTAAAATTTGCAATTGAGATTATTTCGAACAGGATACTCTTGAAAAATTTGAAGCCGACAAAGAAGAATTAAACGACTCCATGAAATAAGAGGTAAAGAGACCATGTTCAAGTCGAAGATGAAATGGGTAGAACAAGGAGAAAAGCCAACCAAATATTTCCATAATCTCGAAAAAAAACAAACTATGAGGAAAAATTGGTCAGAGAGGTGAAACTAGAAAATGAAGAGAAAACCCAGCACAGGGCAACGAGGAGATTGAAGTTTTTTACACGAAAATGTACACCACTAAAATAAATGGCAACATGGACAATCATGCATCTGAGCAAAAGTTTAATGACTTTATTGAAGATGTTAGCATTCCTCAACTCAACGATGAAGAACAAAGCTTCCTAGAAGAAGATTTGACTATCAACGAAATGAAAGAAGCATTAACTTCCTTTGCAGATAAAAAATCCCCAGGGGAGAACGCCTTTACAAAGGAATTTTACCAAACTTTTTTTGATCTTCTTTGAAAGGACCTTCTTAATTCTTATTATGAGGCTTCCGCAAAGGTTCACTATCTATATAGCAGAAACGAGGACCAATAACACTCATCTCAAAAGGCGGTGAGAACTTGACGGAATTGAAGAACTGGCGCCCTGTATCTCTACTCAATATTGGCTACAAAATCTTATCCAAGGTACTGGTAAGGAGAATGGAAAAGTCTTACCAAAATTAGTTCACTCTGATCAAACAGGTTTTGTTAATGGGAGGTATATAGGACAAAATATTAGATTCTTAAACGATGTACAGGAATGGAATATACAGATATTAAGAAAATGCCTGAAATTTATCTTTGTTGATTTCGAAAAGGCATTTGACACCATGGAATGGAGTTTTACATAAAAAACCTAGAGGTGTTTAAATTTGGCTGTAACCTCAAAAGATTTTGTACTTTTAAAATAAAAAATAATTAATTATCACCGGTCGATCGATTGAAGAAAAGGAAAATAATCAAATGAATTTATTGAAGCTGTGAAGAAAATATAGCTCTTGTATTTGTGTGATTTTACAGAGTGAAGCATAGATTTCGCAAATGGACGGTAAAATTCTGGTATGGGTTGTATAAAACCGCACGATCACAACATATTTACCTGTCCTGTAATGAAAAAAGGAAGACCAAGAATAACGAGTGCTGAAAGAGTCCGATATATAGAGGAAACAAGAAAAAAAAGTGTTTCTGGAACAAAACCTAGTGTTTCAGTCCCCTCTTGGTCTGAATACGTCAGCAGAAACAAGAGAAAATCTGTTTCCGAAAAGTAACCTAGTATTTCCGTCGACATTCTGTCTGATTACGTCAACGAAAACAAGAGAAAAACGTATTTCGGGAACGTAACCTTGTATTTCTGTGAACGTTTAGGTCGCCCCATGTAAGGTAATCCGGATTCCGGATTCCAGGAAATTTTTGCTAGTGGAATCCGGAATACTGGGCTTTGGAATCCAGAATCCAGCTTTTGGAATCCAGGATTCTGCTAAAAAGGGAATCCAGAATCCACTTGCTGAAAATCGATTTCAAATCGTATTAGCGGCTTTTACCCGCATGCATGCAACCACTGTAGAGTGCAGTTCACTCACGTGGTCAATTGGTGCTCAAATTTAGAAAGTGTTTATATAACATAAGGGTTCAAATCCCACAGGATTTGCTTGGAACATCATCAATATGGCCGCTATTTGATTGTTTTGGAACAGAACACCTCTAAATAATGATATGGCCGCTATGACGTCCTATGAATATTAACTTACTGGTTATCATAACAACAGTTGGAAGGTGACCTTGTAAAATATACGCTTTAGTTTTGCTATTAATCGAGAAATTTGTAAATTTCTGTGAAAATAATCTACCTGTTGACAACTTGGATGCTTTGCTTTTGCCTGCTTTCCTTGCCGGTTTTTTAAGCAATTTGGGCGCACGGCAAGCTTTGGCACTGGAAACTGCGCCACTTTTATCGGGCATCCAGGGTCAAGTATCGACTGTAATACTCATAACTAAACACTCTTTTCATTTTCGACTCTTTCGAACTTTCTGGTACTTCTGATTCGCGAATGACCAAAATCAAAAATAAATATTCATTTTCCATAAATCATAATGAGAACATCAAAAAGTAATATTTTCCTGACGGCCGTGGAAGCATAGATGTAGTTAGAAGCCAGACGAAAGCCAGGAACTATCAAAACTGCACCAGTCACTCAAAGCACGTGGAGGGACACAAGCCGCATCGCGATAATTGTTTCAGCGAGAAAATTGTCTGCAATTTATGTTCCACATCTGGTTATACTGACTGGCACTCACTCCTTCGCCCTTGTAGTCAGTGTCTGAGAGAAAACATAGTATGCACAAGACTTCTGCCATTAGTTCGGTCCCCTGACTGTGATCCGAAACAGAAGACCTTTATGAATACTATGCTTGCAGATAGAGAAAAGTACCCTTACCGAGTCCCTATTCCCGACTGCCCCACAACATCAAGTCAGTGCGTTCCGCTGAATTCTGGCTTTGGATCGACACTGACGGTTATCTCGTAAACGTAAGGCTACTCTTGTTATTGCGCAGAGAAGATGAGGGCATATAGAAATGCGTTTCACTGAAAGCACTTCGAATTTTAGACCGCATTGATGTCGAGTCAGCACTGGAGAACCACCGAAAAGAGGTCAAGAATTCCACTCCAGACGAGAAAGTGAGCCCTACATTAGTGCCTGAAATAGAATTCAAGCGCTGGAAGAAGAATGGTCTATCTTTTTTTAAGCTACCTGGCAGGATTGACATTCTCCCCAAAACACAGCAGGCTTTTTATAACTGATCGACGTCTTCACGCAGTTTTCATCATTGACATGCACTGCCCTGCGAATGTCACTTTAATTGCCGGTGGTGGTGAGCCGGGACACACTAATGGAAGTGGAAGCAAGGCCAGATTTAAGAACCCAGCTGGCGTGGTGGTGAGGGAGGAGGAGCTTTACGTTTGCGAACAAGGGAATGGTACCATTAGAGTGGTAAACATGAGATCGCTTTTCTTCAATGCTTCCAGGATTGGCCAAGAAGATACAGACGCCACGGAAAGCCAAAGTGAGGAAGAGGATTTCGCCATAAGACAAATTCGCAAAGTGTCCGTGCACAATCTTTCCCTTATTCCAGAAGAAAATGTACTTGATTTGGTATCGCCTTTTGCCATATGTGGAGCCATAAAGAATAACTTTGAACTTTATGTATGAGATTTTCGTCTTAGCAAGGTTTTCACGATTACCAATGTTATGGAGGAGGAAATCAACTACATCGGGGAGTTAAAGGAACTGCTGTCATTTGACAGCTCTACCCTATTAATTTTGTTAGCCTTAACTTGCGACGAGCAGCACTTATTATGGGTGAAATGGGTCAAATGTTCATGTATGTCAAGTACGCGGAGGATTGAAGACTAAAACAATTTCAAATATTCCAGGCCCAACAGGAATTGCAATTACAGAAAGTGGGACAGTGTTTGTATCTTCTAGCAAAGAACACTCACTCTTTAGCTTGAAGGAAGGAGACTTATTTAGAGGAACTGAGGACATACATTAAGTCAGTGGAGGTAGCGTAGGCCACTGCGATGGTATCAAAAGCCGACGGAATATGCCAACTTCTCTGTGCGCCTACAGAAACACTGTTTTTATTTGTGACACCGGCAACAAATGAGTAAGGATGCTGATGTCAGCAAAGGCCCTTATCCCTCTGCAAAAAAGGTTTGCGTTTCTCACTCGCCACGAACATAAAGCTCTAGAAAGGACAGGCAAACAGAACCCAAATGATTCCGACTTGACAATACCTCGAGCCACAAGACAGTCGTTCCTCATTGTGCTAGAATCACTTACCAGTCCTGCTAACACACTGACAGAGATTGGACATGAACATCTTCTTGATAGAATCTGTTTTGAAAGTATGACAACATTGAGTGTGGAATGCTTTTTTAAAGGAATGAGTGCAGACCACGACATGCCTACCGCGGCTGACTACGCTTTCAGAAGGGCTCGTTGCGTCCAAGACGACATGCTTCGCATTTACCAGAAGGACTTTTCGTATTTCACCGGGCCCAATTCATTTTATCCGGAAAAAATAATCAAGGGTGAGCCTCCGAATATTAAGAGACGACCAAGTAAGCAGTCGCAAATCAGCGAGGGAACAGGAAGTAAAGAGTAGGACAAAAGGCGAGAAGCCGTAATGCGAGAGTTTGTCGGAGAATATGGAAAAGGTGTACGACAGGAAAACGTTCGTTCAAAAACGAAAGAGTTGACTGGCACACTTCCCTATGCCTTCAGCATGTGTTCCTCTGTCTTCACAGCCTCATCAGAAGACTGATTCGACGTAACAACAGCCTGCCAAATAGAGGATGCTAGTTTCGTACTGCAGGGTAGAATTGTGCAGGTGCAAACTTCTTACCACGTAAGGATGTCGTTGCTGTGAGACATAACCGCAGAAAAGAGATTTCGCCATTCTGGCTCGCTATTCTTTTACAAGACGTTCAATTAGAAGTTGATGGAGGCAATTTTTTACGAAGAAAGTGCAATTTCAGTAGCTGAACCAGACAAGTGACCTTCTTACGTACACTCCCGGCGATGTCTGTGATCGGAACTCACCCAACTGCATTCTAACCCGAGTTTTGGGATTCACTGCCAAGGGTTCAAGCATCACTCTAACGTCTGAGGAGGACAATAGGCTCTGCAGGCTTGCTAATGGTGACCTTGATGACGAAGATGTTGGAGATGATGAGGATCAAACTCCAGAGGATGAGAGGGCAGCTGGGGAGAGTAAAAGGGAAGTGTCGCTTCCAAGATTAGGAGTGAGCTTATCAGGGCGATGGAATACACGTTTCCAATTATGATAAACTTTGAACAAGGTTATATATGGATATTTATGGAAGCCAGGAGAGGTCTATTCAGAGGTCGAATGTTCGGCATTTAAACGTGAACCGCTTTCTTTGATATTTGGCATTTGGAATAACAAATTTAAGATTTCATAAGGCATCATATCTCGGTGCGACTAAGATAAGATATTACCAGATTTTAAGGTCAAACAACATTTTCTGGAAAAAAAATAGCGGCGGGCCAACTAGCCAATTGACACAGACACACTAAATCAGAACCCAAAATCTTATCTTTTTTTTCTACCAGCACTGTTTCTAAATTTACTTTGTAGTGTTCGTACAAAGTAATTAAGGTGCCGTTTTATAAAGTACTCAAGTAATTATAAGTAGGCAAGTGAGCTTAACTAACGAATTGCGAGTTTTGTATTGCAATTTGTAAGTGACTGTTAGTACTGGTGACTAATCCAATAAGTAGAGTGATGTCAAGTAATGTAAGTGGAGTAATGTAATGTAAGTTTAGCTCTGTACAAATGTTTCCTCAATAAATGTTTATTGAATTAATAAAAAAATTATATCGGAAACCACATGTAAACCCCTTTTTTCAGGCTAACCACCACATTTAAGCTTCTGAAGTTCAATGGTGATTTTCTGTTTTATTCTATTCCATTTTTTCCAATTTTTGCTAAAGAAAAAAAAACAACGACAACAACAACAAAGTAAGTGAACTACACACCTGTCTCTAAAAACATAACGAGTAGATTTCATTTGCAGTTTTTATGAAATGCTACAATAGGAAATTTTTGGATCCCCCCTGCCCTCTTGGTCTCCCCATAACCCGTACACACCTGCATCCCTCCACTTAACATTTCCTCTCTTAACAAGAGTTCATCTGAGGCGCCCCTCTGACTTCAGTCTTACCTTTGCCAACACCGCAGCTGTAATACATAACAAAGCTAGTTGTTGTTTCCACTTCGTGTTCGTGCAGTGGCTTCTCGGCTGATTTTACTTCGGGCACAAGACTGAAAGTCTTAGAGATGACATGGTTCGAAGATAAACGAAGAAGCTGATACCAAGAAGGGAATCTTAGGGAAAATTACCCTCTAAAAAAATGATTCGATTTGATTTTCCCGCACTTCTAGCTATGGACTGACTGAGTTTGCGCGTCTGCACTGCGTAATTATTTCCCTTGTGATCCAGTTGACTTCCGTTTCAGGCCCAAGGAATACGGCCCTTGGAAAAGAATCCAGCTTCATTACGCGCGCGTGATCGATGTCGGTCCCATTGAGTCACGCTCATTCGACATATTCGTAAGTTTCACGCGTAGTTTACTCTGAATGGAACGTTTCTCCGAAAGGAAAGTTTCTACAACTCATGCAAATGTTCCAAGTGTTTAGGTTAGATCGAGTTTCCTTCCATAAATTGCACCATCCGCCATGCTGTTTAGGCAATTTTGCCGACTACGACCGACAATTTCACAATGGTGATCGTGACACTCGGTCCCAGTCTCAAAACGAAGAGGGGCCTTCTCTTCTATCCCTTCAAGGGACTTCCGTAAAATTTAGGCACAACCTTCCTCATTGAAGCATCAGCGAAGGTCTGATAAGATGGTGTCTTTCCGTGATTATGAAATTTACTTACTCTTTCTTCTGCTAGTAAAGTTTCACGGGTCAGGTAATTGTGAAATTTATTCTCCTGCAAAGGATGTTACAGTGTTTTTTACCAAGTACTATTTAAAGCTTAGAAACCGAAAACGCCGACCCTTAATTTCTGAACGTGATGTTTGTCAAATGATTGTTGTATTTTAACTTTAAGATATGATGTTGGGATTTCAATGACGTGTTAAATGAAGTCTGAATAACTATGAAACGATAGAAATCAAGAACAGAGGATATTATGCTTCAAGTGTAACAATACCATACGTTCAGGATATAACATCAACATGGAAACTTAGAAGTGCAATATAATATTGATTAGTGTGAGTCGTGTTCTTAGCCATGATAAAAGTTACTGCTTTGTCAGTTGGCTTTCCAATTCAAACAAGATGGCTATGGAAACCCAGGAAAGAGTTATCCATCACTCATCATAGGAAAGAGTTGTTAACAATTTCTCCACTCATTATTAGTTCAAAAAATGACCTCAGCAAGAATAATTACTGTTAGTTAAGTTGAATGTGATTTTTTCTCCAGGTAGCAATCATGTAAAGAAACTACATAATGCACTTGGTTGGATAATTGAGCTTTTCTTTGCTCAATTACCAACATGTATGAATTGTCTATTGAATTGACCAGTTTTTAGCTTTATACACATACGGTTGTGGTATCCCACAGTATTAGCCATGGACTTCTTATTTTTGTTTTATATTTAGAAAAAGGTGAAGTTTTACTAAGACCAAAGTTTTTGAAATGTGTGTATATACATGTCGGCTTATAATATACATACTGAGATTTACTCCAAGCTAAATTTGAAAAAAAAATTGATTTGTAATGAACTGCACAAATTCTGATAGGTTACATGGGTTTCCTCACAAGTGAGAAATGAGCATCTGACCAATCACAAGTCATAGATGAAATTTTTGAGCAGTAAAAATAATAGTATGGGATTTTTTGCCTTTGTGGTGTGGGGGCTTGCCAAAGTGAATGAAAGTGAATGAAAGTGAACGCCAGCAATGTTTGCTGGGTGTATACAGCTGTAGAATCATGACTTCAAAGTTAAAAACAAGAAGTCAGCTGTTGGTGTAAACAAGTTAAATTCATTTATGAAGATAACGTCAGAGAAAGCTGGATTTCATGAAAATTGGTGAAAATCTCTCTGATTTCACCTTATGTAAACTGATCACAATCTTTGTCAAAATCTTTGCTTGATCAATTCCTGACATTCAAAATCTGAGGAACTAAAGTACAATCATCTCCAAAATGGCACAAAAGACTTAAATTTCAAGATTCTGACCCTGATTAAAGAAAGCATTACACTCCACACATGACATGATTGATCATTGCATTGTTGTTTTTGCTGTTGTTGTTGTTTTAACTTGTGTTATGTGATGACTTCAATGATTAAATACCATTAGTATAATTGCTGAGGTGATTATAGAGATGCACATGCTCTTATTGGTCAAGGATTGCATCATACCTTGCTATAATCACCATGTGTGGGTGATAACAGCAAGAGCACTAAATTTCATAATAGCTGCCTTGCATTTTGTCAAATGTCTGTGAGGAAGTGATAAAAGCAATAGTAGACAATTAAACTGTGAAGAGCATGAAAGATATTAAATGATTAGCAGAACACTTAATTAAACAAAGGGATGAATTTTTTGCTGATTGAATGCAAAACGCCTCTTAAAACTGCTGGCTCATCTTGATACAGGTAATCAACACAACTGTAACAAAATCTGGGCAATGCTTTCTTTATTTACAGAATTTATAACAGAATTTGAAAGCACCTGAGCAATTACTGTATACTTAAACAATTATTTGTTGAGGGTGAAGGGAAGATCAATAAACAATAATCACTTCACCTTTGGCCAATATTTCTTAATTTTTATTCATTATAATTTATGTTATTTTACCTTGCTAAATATACCTTTGTTATACACACTGTAGAACAGGGCAGAAATAGGGAAAGAAGTGATGTGTGTGGTCCAATTTTCCAATTTTAGGCATGATTTTTTTCAGCAGTGAACTTTAAAGCCAATAAGAATTTTGTCTTAGTCATCAAGAACTCTTAAATGGTTTCTTTAATTTCTGTTGTTTTCTTCTTTCATTTACATCTTATTTGATGGGTAGGATGCTCAGATAAGACCATATAAGTTTTCAAAAAATAGAAGCCAAAAGACTAGAAAGTGAAATGAGAGGAAAAATGAATCCCTCATTCAATGGTTTAACATTCATTAATAATATGTGTGGACACTTCCACTTTCCATTTTCCACCTTGATAAGTTCTTCCTCAAAAAATTTCTTCATGCATACCACTGACTTAAAAATTTTGGAAATTCACCACAGTACACAGTTTGGAAAATTAAAGAAAGTGGAACTGTCAAAAATTATTATCAAAAGACACAAATAGTTGCACAATACTGTTATTGAACCTTATTTTTGTGCAAATGAAAGTATATTTCGAGCTGAATGACATCAGTGAATACCAATGTAGGGCATATTTACACTTATTGTTGTTACTGCTTACACCAAAAGTTTCTCCGTGGTGGACTCTGTTTAAGCTTTTCTTCCTAAATGATATCCTCACAATATTATGTTTATGGTTGTCTATTTTAGGGGGTACGAATGTGTATTTCACCCAGGAACCTTCTAATCCAAGCTACTTTAACATTGGTAGTGATGCCAACCTGGTGTGGGACTACGCTGATCCACATAATGAGATTCAGTTCATTGTCTATAGTGTGGTGGTAGATAATAAATTTGCCAAATTGATACTTAATGACAGTCAAGGTGTCAGAGAAAATCCTAAAATTCCTTCACTTTACAAAGGAAGAGTTGAAATTAAAGGAAGAGCTACCCTGGTTATCAAGAACATCAACCCCAGAGACAATAGCAAATTTAAATGTGAAATGCGGGCAGGCTCACCAGGGACAGTTGAAAGTGCAATTCAGCTTATTGTGGCAGGTACATATTACAAACATAACCATTAATAATAAAAAAAAATCAAATGCATTCAATTCATGTCTCTCATATTTCTGAGATATGGAGAAAGTAAACAATAGCATATATTTGTGCAAAACATTTATATGCAGGGCTGAAAGTAGTTAGCTAACCCAACTTTTGGGAACAATATTGGTACTTTTACTCGGCATGTGACACAACACTCCTAAAAGGAGAAAGTAAACTCTACCATTTACTATGTTGTTTCTCATTGATAAGAAATCAAAGAGTAATTGCTTTAGGGCCTGCTCACATGGAGGTGGGAGACCCCGAGTAGATGAGGTAACCTGCCTAGGTGGGTAACCCGCCTGTCCATATAATTTCTTATTTTATTTTGATCACGTTTACGTGATAGGTGGGGATGCCTCTGCTCAAACTTCTTAATTGCCAGCGCAACAACAACCTAAAGAAACCTCACCCCAGCACCCCGGGGTTGTAAGATTGCATGTAAACGCGTTTATTTTTCAAGGCAGCGGGTTACCTTAACTACCTGGGGTCCCCCACCTTCATATAAACAGGCCTTTATTCTTCTGGCACTAACCACTGGGTTGCTCTGTTATGTATAGATAACTATTATTAATATGAATACTGAGAATTTCTCTTAGCAAAGCTATCAATTAAAAATGGTCAGTCAAAACTAGAAACAATCCGACGAGTTCTATGATTTTGCTAAATCAGTGTAGGAGAATATTACATGACCAATCACAGGCAGTATGTGAAATTAATTTGGTGTGAAAAAAATGGCATTGCTTTTCAAGCCTTTTAAAGGGACTTGCCAAAGGGAATGAAAGATGGCTTCACGCCTTTCTCTGCTTTCTGAGGATTATGATCTTCAAGGTTTACAGATGTAAATTTAGTCAACAGAACAGTGACTTCCTCAAGTAAGTTCTGAGATTAAGGAGCAAGTCGAGACTTGGATTTGATTTATGTGCTGGAGCAAAATTTTTAAAGTTATGCATGGAAGCAACAAACCAACAAAGTCTATGATCCAAGCTCTCTATGCTCTTTGAAAGACGTTGAGCATGCAAACAGAGAATAATTCAATGATGATCAACTTGGCCAGGTGGGAATGCTGCTCCTAGCAGACTGTTAGTCATGGATGTCAGTTCAACAGCTCTAATTTTATTGCTGACTTTGGTTGCTCCACTGAGAAACTGGCTGAGTTCCGCAAAGAGCTCCAAGGGACTAAAAGTGTTCCATTTCAATTTAGAGTATGAAAAATTTTTAGCTTATGCAACCTAAACTTTTCAAGAAATTTTCGTGTATGAAACAGAAGCGTAGTGTTCTTTTAACAGACTCTTTAATCTTCTCTCTGAGTGTTTTAACTTTCATTTTCGAACACAGTATCTTAGATGTCCTAACAACCTTAAGATCATAGAAACAAGTGTGATATTAAGTATGCAACTTCTTGGTCATTTAACTGTGCTTCAAAATTGAAAACATTTGTGATATCTCAACGCTCAAAAAAAACCTATTTAAAAACCTTTGCACGAATTGAGTCCGACTGCACATCGAGAGCAGGTCTCAGTTCTTGAATAAAAAACATTTCATAAAGTTGGCTGTCAAATTTATTCGTACTCTTCTTTAAACATCGTCTATCGGTCGTGAGCACGGTTTTAATGGTCAGCGATTTGAAGCATTTGATTTATAAGGTTGAAACTAAATACAAATGTTACGCGCGACATTTCAGGAAATGCTGCTTTCATAAGAGCAGTTTTGCTTCGTTCGTACTTTTTATTCGCGCATAGCGTTATGTGATAATGATAATGATCGTCATGACAAATGGCTAAACTACCAAAAATTCACAAAGCCAAGAGACCGAATACAACACAAAGCCTGAGACCGAATACCACAATTACTACAAATACTACGAATACTCCCCTTCGTTTGAGTTGTAGCAGCTTTTCCGTGGCTTTTCGGCTTAAGCGGTCTGTTGGGTCATTGTTCAGGAGTTTGTACGGTCCGATCAGTGTTGACATCTTAGAGTGGTAGCCTTTGTCTGCAGGTAGGATCATGATGGAATTGTCCTGTTTGAGACTTTTTGGCGCATTTCGCATTTCCGTTGTGATACTAGGCTTGAGTGGTACGGCCTTTTGGAGTACGTTGTTCACGGTTCTTCGGACTGTGTCGGCTTGTTCCGCGTCGAGTGGTCTGATGGCTGTTTCTACCTCTGCGATTATTTCTGTGGAGTCAGAGTCAGCGCCAACGCACTCTACGATTGTTATTCGAGTATTGTCGATTCATTTATTTTCATTTGTTAATGAAGTCGGCTTTCCTTTCCAGTAAAGGGCTATTGTGTTTATATGATAAACAAAATAATACATGGTTGCTTATAGATATGGAATTTCTCTTCTCGTGTTCAACTCGAAGAGAAATTCCATATCTACGCCCGCCCACGTATTATTCTCTATTTATTTTATTGTAATTGAGTAAATTTTAACACTCGGTCCGAGTAAAATTTGCTACGCCATATGAGGAATGATAAATAGAGAATTATACACAGGCGCGCGTAGATATGAAATTTCTCTTCGAGAATTTAACTCGATAGCTCACGAGTGAGCGCAGCGAACAGGTGAGATGTCGCGTTTTTCCCCTTCTAGAAAAGTTTGAACCTCACTGTCTGTCAGCGATAAGGATTTTTCATTGTTTTAACCGCCACAATCCGAGAACGTTCCGACAAACTACCTTATATTGAGAATCGTGAAGGCTTTGCCGATCATTCATCAAATTGACCGAGTGGCGCAAAAGGCGAGTGACGTGTCAGCAGCTGATTAGCTATATCAACACACTTTTTCACGCGTGTTGTTACGACTTTTCTCAGGGCCGGAAATCCCTGTATAACACCGCAGTTTATGTAATAAAATATCTTTTACCTTTCAGAGGCACCACTTATAAACATCTCTTTAGGGGGAAATTATTACATTGAAGGATCCCCTGTCATCATAACCTGTGAAGCTTCTGGGAAACCACTGCCGGATGTAGCATGGATTAGAAATGGAGTACTGGAAAGTTCAGGGACGAAAGCTGCAATTTTAAAGTTTGATAATATAAACAGAACAGATGCAGGAGAATATACATGTCAAGCCAATAACTCAGTGAAAGTCACTTCCATTAACACAACAATTGTAGTTCACTGTAAGTATTATAACCTTAATTTTCTATTTCTGAGTTTACTTTATTTACAGTGTGAATCCTGTTATTGGGGCCAGTTACCCAAAACTGATGAGTCTGTTCAAAGTTGTAAGGAAACAGAATTCCACCTCAAATCCTTTTCAGCTTTGTGTGCATCAGCCTGGCAAGTATTGGTTGGGACAATTGAATATAGGTGGAATAATTTTTCACATTATTTTGCTTTGGAGGGCGCGACAATTTTCTCACCAAGTCATTGCTTCGGTTGAACTGTTTTTAACTCAGAAAATGGTTTAAAGCATTCAAAAATTCACTCTGTCTGACTAGCGCACAAGGCTAGCACATATTCCTATTCAGGGTGAGGTCTGAAGGAGACAACGCAAAACCGTGCTTTCGTCCGGTCGAAAAATGCCTAAACACAGCTGTTCGTCCATCTACTATGACGTTTTAACCTCGAAACAGAAGCAACTTGAGGTAAAGAATAGCTTGCGAGAAGGCTCTTATTATTATTATTATTATTATTAGCGCTGTAAGACGCGCATTTCTCCCGCCGCGGGGAGATCTTCGGCGAGTCGAGGTTTTGCCGGGGGGTCTTGCAATCATAGACCCCTTGCTGACTTCTCGTAGATTTGCATCGTTCAAGGCCTCAGACTTTCCCTGGGCGAAGAAACACTCATGCCGTAGCGTTCCTGGCCAGTTAAAAAAAAGCCCATCCAATTCAAAATGCAAAGCAAATGCAAATGAACGACAGATTAAATTAAGAAGGAACTCTTCGAAGGAAATGTTTCAAAACTCAAGTTCATCTGGAGTGATGTTTCTACAATTACGAAGATATTTGAATATAAAAACAACTTCTGACAGGTCAACCTTTTTTGTATGATATTTTAACGAAAGCATCCGAAGGGTGTGTCGATCCGACATTCAAAGTCGGAAAGCTTATTTGAATAACAAACAATCGTTTAAATTAATATTCATGCACCAACTTGTCCTGCACGTGGAAAGAGCTTACAAACTACGAGAAATTCAGCGTCCTTTGCAGCTAATTTGGAACCAAGAAACACTTAATCTCAGAGTTATTAGCTTGGATATTATTGGTTCTGTCGTGGCCTCCGTTTGTTTCTTCGAAGCTGCTGAATCGAGCGCTTTAACTCGATGTCGAGGATTAATGCATGCCATAAGTTGCACATTCTCTCAAGGTAAATAATCGTATGAATTGATAGACCGTCAGAAATACAGTTTTCATATTCTAGTTTGTTTAATTGTGGCCCTTGAGAATCAAATTACAGAGTTAGATTTAAAAGTAGTAGTGCGCTAAACGTTGTGCGCTAAAAGACATCTTCGATGGCAGCCGCCAAGACAGTTGCTATTGAACCTCGTCACTTTAAAACAATATCGAGGAATTCGCACTTATTATCCGTGCATCGATCGCTTATTTCTAAATTTCGTTCTTTTCTTTTTTCACTTTTTTTCTTTAATATACGCAGCTATTTTATTTTATGGAGTCTTCGAAATAAGTTAGTCATAAATCCGCATGTTTTATCGTCACTCCTTACCCTCCCCCCCAAAAAAAATAAGGGGGGGAGGGAAAGTGGTGGAAATAGGACATAAGACCCCCCTTTTTCTATTTCATTTTTAATAGGCCTTGCACCTTATACTGAATACTCGACTGCCAAATAACACAAAAGTGACGGACTCTACTATGGAGTGATTACAACCGTCACTCTTTGTTTTCGTCGAAAGACAGGGAAAGGAAAGACAAATGCTGGGCCCGTGTAACTGATGTCCATGACTTTCTGGTTTGTGAGGTGGGAGGTTGTGTGACCTGCAAGCACTATGCCGCCCCGCTCTGTGAGATACTTAATGAATAAGTTGCCAGTAATCGGATCCTTGTGTTTGCGCTTAGATTTCTGGGTTCGCCACGGGGCAAACATTGCAACTCATTGGAAGGAATTGCATGGCGAAAGGTAGTTCCAATGTCCAAAAAAAAGATTTTAGAGAGAGATTATCGCTTTTTCGCCGCTCCTTTATCAGAAATGGACTAGGGTAATGCTGATACAAGGGTAGAGTAAGTTTTTGTTTGAAAAACCATGTAATTTATAGTAAAATCTACTGATTAACTTGTCTCCATGTGCAAGGTTTATTGTAAATTTGACATCGCGTGATGTTCTCGGAATTTAGAAAAACTAACCATATAAATCGCCAAGGAATAACTCAACTAAACCGTGTCAGTTTTTTGTGCGTGAGTTAAGTCTATTTCTAGCTTGGCTTAGTAATACAAAAGAGCGCTATGAAAGCTACCTTGAGGTAGCAGGAGATTGAAATGCGTGCTTGAGCATTAAATATTATTATGGTACATTAAAGTGCGAAAATACCTACACTGCTTCTTTGTTGTGATCAATGAGAACGAATCAGCGTTAATAATTGGCTCGAAACTGAACCCTTTCTTCTGTGACGATGAGTGATACAAGTTGGTCTCTTAAGGAGCGATGCACAACTGATGATATGTCCTGAGTTTCTGCCGGAGTTCTCGTGATCTTGCTTTTCCTGACAAGATCCTTCAGGGAGGGCGAGAAGGAAAATTGCAGCTAAAAGACCTTTGGATTTTTCTCAAACAAACTATCACTTGAACTGGGGATTTCCTCATGTTTTTTTTTTCATCGCCTATTTAATCCTTTCAGCGAGCATCAGCTCGGTAAAAATAATTTCCATATCCGCTGACAACGACTTCTCTCCTTTAAGTAAGTATATTTTCAAACGTAATTTGTTTATGAAATACGTTTGCCAGTATAAAAATAGGCCGTACATATATATATACAACTGAAAAGACTTAAAAGAGTTATTTTCTAGCGATTTCTGGGTAATTTTGTAATACTTTGAGACCATTACGCGATGACGATTTCACAATAGACCTTACGCAAGAGGAGAAGTTTTTCGGTATTTTTTATAACATATTTCGTGTTAATTCCAGCAAAAACTTTAACTTCCAAGGTAACAACATTATCATTATCTTTATCCCTGTGTGATAAAACTACTGCGAAAAGCCATAATCTCTTGCCAAAATCGCTTATTTTGGACGTCCAAACAACCTTTCGCCATACGTTCCTTTATAGCGAGTTACAATATTTGCCCAGTGGCGATCCCAGAAATCTGTGCGCAAACGCAAGGATCCGATTACTGACAACTCATTCATTGTTTCTGCGTTTGCATATGCGCAGGCATTTGACCTCTGTTGTTAGGAGCAGGTAAAAAGCAAGCATGGACGTTGTGCTAATCTCTAGATTTTGAACTCATCCATCAAAATTACACCAGACATGCTTTCTTGGAGTATACCACATATATAAAACATTTCCTGTAATAAAAAAAAAGCAAACAAAAACAACGTAAATGTCCAGAAATGCCATTTCGCTCAAGCCAATTGCAACGAGATCGCAGCGTAAGGGTTTGTTGCTCCCACCGATCACATTTTGGCTTTACGGTTGCACTTGTGCAAGTATAAATCTATTGCTACTGACGTTCTGTGACAACCTTTTTAACAAGCCATATTCAATATCTTCCTCTCTACAAGAGAAAGTGAGTTAAACAGTACTTTTCCCTTACCGCCTCTTGATTTTTGTAGAGATATGTCAAACCTGCTTCCATTTTCAAGTCCAGGAATGGTCTTATATCTATCGATGTGAGGGAATACATGGCATACTTTGAGCCATGTCATCGTACACGTAAATTTGACATTAATAATGATAATTTAATCTACGGACATAATCAAGATTATTATAGGAAATCATATTTCATTAGAAATACTGAACTTTAGAACTTGTTACCATCTAGTATAAAAACAATTCGCTATTTTTCCTCTTTTAAGACCAGCCTAAACAATATTTATATCTCAGAACGAGAAACTTATAACCCTCCTGGCTGCTATTGATATATGTTTTCAGTATAATTGCCTGGGTGATTATAGAGATGCACGCACTCTGATTGGTAGAGGAGTGCGTCATATCTCGCTTAATCACCTTGCATGAGGTAATTATAGCAGGGGCGCCAAATTTTAAAATGGCTCCCTTGCATTTTGTCAATATCATTCAGCAAGGGACAAATGTGATGGGAGAATATTAAATTCTGAAGAGTGGGAAAGATGCTAATAAGCTTGACATAACACTTTTTCAAAAGAAAGATATGAAGTTTTTGCTGACGGAGTGAAATGAATCTGTTAAATTCTAGTGGAGACTAGCTTATATTTATACAAGTAATTCATACCATTGTAACAGAATTTACAAAATACATTTACAACAATTTGAAAGTATTTTAGCTATTATACTAATAATATGGTATGGCAGGTCGACATTAACTGTGACAAGTCGTTCGGTTCGAGTCGAATCAAGTCGATTCGACAAAATCTGCAACCCCACTTCGTGGCCACTTGCGGAAAATTTTCGAAGTGTTTTGTAAATCGACTTCCGATATGACGGGTCGACTTCAACTGTGACGAGTAGTTCGGTTCGAGTCGAATCAAGTCGATTCGACAAAATCTGCAACCCCAAATTACAAGTCCTTCTTTATATAAAAATGAAAAGTGCTAGTCACACTTCAATAATAACAGCTCTTCCGTTTACTTGTTGTTCTTCTCTGTCTGTCAGCTATCAACAAAATTGTTTTTTACTTCGGGCAGTGCATAACTATTTGTGGACCAGAGTTCCAACGCACCTCTGTAATCGCATATAGCTACTTCTGTCTCTTGTACAAATGTTTCTCCTTTGTAAGACGCACTCTACTCTGTTGTCAATACTGCTTTAAGTTCAGTGGAGACGACTGACTGAGGAATCGAGATGGCGGTGTTGGAACGTGTTGCTGAACGCTTGCTATGGTCAAGCTTTGTAGATTTAGGTACTGATACACTGGGATCATCTATGTATCTCTTATACTTCCGAATGTGGTATCCTCCTTCTATAAATATGAGGGTAAAAGACGATTTGTAGTCGCATTCAAAACTGTGATTGGCTTGTGTTATTTC